GATTTGATACTATCTAAAAATAGAATCAACCAATAACTGAGAAGAAATGAATGTCATTCAAGAAATAATAAATTATCTTATTTCCACATATCTATTATAACTATCTCAACAAAATTTATCTGATTTAATAATAATTAAAAAAATAGTGTATGAACGATTCCATCTGATTTGAATGAACAAAGTTCAATCTTTAAAGATGTGATTGATTTCTATATAGCAGTACGGTTTTTATTCAGTTTCGCACCGTTTACATACAATCGAATTTAACCACTTTGAGCAGTATAATCTGATACACAACGATCAATCAGCAACATTCTTTTCCTTTCCGTGGACGGTCTAATCATCTTCACGGATAGTTCGACAAAAAACTGTCATTTTAGTCAATTTACACATTTAAAGCTAATAATAATAAGATAACCGAGTTTTACTAGGGTAATTACCGATACACAATTAGGAAACGTGAATGTAGCAATTTTTTATCATTATACTTTAATTACATCCTTACAGATTTAATTTGCCCTAATGCTTTTTATCTTCCTCACGAGTTTTCAAATAGGTCGTCAAATAGATCATAATTATTTAAAATAGATCATTGTCATTTCCGATATCAGAAAACTTCTGATCATCTTACGAACACACTTAGTCAATATTATTTATTTTGTCTAATAATTTGATATTCTTCGAATGCTTTGGCATTTTTGGGATGAATATACGAATGATAAAGTAAAAACTAAAATATAAAAGTGTAGATGAAACTAGGCAAAAAAATGGGTACATAAACAGACAAAAGTTCAAATGTAAATCTTACTATATAATATTAATGGTTTTATTCATTCTATTCACTTTGTTAAAATTAGCATTTAAAACACATAATATATAAAATAATAATAGTATATTAATAGAATAATAATTGAAAATAATAATAGATCAACAAATACTGTGCCGAATCATCACCTTATGATGCTCTATGTTAGGATCATAAGATCATAATGTCGTGCAAATGTATCCTCTCCAATCGAGTGTTTCTTGATAATATAGAAGACAAAGGCAAACGACTTTTAAAATAGTTCCAGAAATTTTAGATATGTTTATATATATAATATATATATATATATATATATATATATATATATATATATATATTTCGACAGGCGTATATAATTGACCGATATATTACGAAGATTATAATTCATGTTAAAATTCATATTTTTGTACAAACATACATTCACCAATGATCGATAGGCTGAAATACTGTTTCATCGATGTCACGTTATGCAGATATATTTTTGTTTATATATGATTGTTCGTGTAGAACAGTCGTTTTTATTAAATATATAAAATAAGTAAATAATGTGCACATGTTATTAATGGAGAGTAGTAAATCATGCAATTATTGATTAAATAGTTCATTAAGGAAAATTAATTATTAATTGTACAAACCTTTTCTACTTTGAACTATATTGAGTAAGTCAATAATATCCAAAGGGATTATATATTCGTAATGGGTAAAGTTTCCAGTACGATAACTTTAATAATATCGTGCTAAAAATTTTATTTTATAAGATTTTCAAACGAGTATTATGTTTATACACAAAATATACTGTATTATAGTATGAAAAAACAATAGTTGTCTTCAAACGTATATATAAGCAAATATTATTTATGAGATCTGAACTATTTATATGAATGAAAATGAAATGAAGCTATTAAAATATATACAGTATACGTACGTATTATTACCAATATATTGATCTTTGTAAACATATATATATTAAATATATACATACATACATACGTACATACATACATATATATATATATATATATATATATATATATATATATATATATGTATACATATATATATGTGGGAGGGGGAAATATATATTCTATGTATCGAAATGAGTACACAAAAAAAATAATCGTTCAACTTTAAATATATTCCATTTAAATTAGACCAATTAAATATCTCCTCTATTAGTGATAATGTAAAAAGTATTTTTTTAAATAATTTAAATGATTTTAAAAGACAGATCAGATAGAAGAAAATTTTTTTTCATAATAAATGTCATTTTTTAATGATTTTTCTCCGATCACTCATGTTTCTTTCTTTTTTTGTAGTATACATTCATTTTTTCTCTGTTGTATTCATTCATATACATTAGTATGACCTTAAAATGACTTTGGAACTAAAAATTTTTAAATTAATATGGAACTTATAATGAGTTACCATTTTTCAGTAATAATAAATAATCGATTGTCAATTAGGAATTGTAAATAAAAGTATTTATTACTGTAATAAATGTTCAATATGATGTTCTTCTGATGTCAAACATTTCGTGAGGCGAATAATGACAGGTTGCAAAGATCTTTTGATGATTACAAGTTTAATATGAACATAAGTATCAATTATTCCTTCCTTCATATTTTTGGTGGTGCTGTCTTTTTTTTATAAATCTTAATATTAATAGAATCTTTTAATCTAAATAGAATCAAAGGCCGAAATCAAAATTAATCATATGAGAAAGATCTAACAACTTGTAAATCTTTGAATAAAATAGATATATAATCGAAAATGTGTTTATTTATGATTTCAAATTGAAGATCGGTCTTCGAAACTTAACATCTCGCTGAAAGTAAGTTTCATGTTAATTAAAAAATTTTATAGTCCAAGGTTGTTTCAAGAACATTATTATATATTAATTTAATCATTAATTATACGTTATCGAGAGCATATGTAATGCCATACAAGAGCATATGTAATGCCATATAAATTAAAACATACAAGAGCAAAAAATGCGTATGCACATAAAAAATAAAAAAAAGGAAAAGAATCATTCAAAAATTATATTTATAAGAAAAACAAATTTTCTTTCCGTTTGATTTGTTACTTGATACTATTTATATTAGAAATATTTTTCATATTGTCACACATAAAAGTTTAGGTAGCCTGTTTTAAGCGACCTGTATCTATATATAGATGTAATGGAATTGGAATTTAATGAAAAGCCAAACAGCAAAAATTAGCAATGAAGAAAGAAAGTAGATCGGCAAGGAGTCGGATAAGTTGATTAGCGGATATTTTAATTACTGATTGGCCATGCCGGCTAATTAAATCGTAACTCAATCAGAAGCCGGATCAACCAGGATCACCTTTTTCTCTTTTACTTCTTTCTCTTTACGTATGGCAAGACTTTGCGCAAGTGTTATTACATTTGGAATAACATGGCCTGGATTTTGTTGCATAGAACGAAACAGAGATGTCCCTGCGACCAATACCAATGCATTGTACATTGATATAGATGTTAGTCTATGACTGATCGATAAGTTATAACTTATCGACGTATCCAATAGAAAAAGAGAACTAATGTACACAGAGCAAGAATCCGTGAACGAGAAACCTACATCATAATGTAAAAGCTGAAAATTTTTCTGCGCAAGTACACTACAGCAGGTAAGTTGACCACTATAAATCTTTTTGAAAGGTAACAGATAGCAAAAGTGTATAAAATTGCTGTCCAAAAACATCATAGTATAAAGTCAGATTTTTGGATATTTTCTATGGGATACTATTAGAAATCAAGTTATCCATTATTAGACACTTTGTATGGTGGAAACCTCCCACTAGACACATTTAAAGTTTAATAAATTATAATTGTACTTACGTTATAATAAAAGATGCGAATTCAAGAATGATCCGATCGCTTCCTCGTCGTATTCCTTTTCTAACATCTCTCAGTTCGTCTGCTAGAACGGACGATACATAATAAATTTATTTTTCCCTAAAAGTATTTTGTCGACATGAATATTGATGTATATCGACATATATCATTACATTATATTACTTGCAAATGGGATTATTTAAACGAGATACATTAGTTTTTTTGTTTGTAAAATCTAATTTTAGAAAGAGACAGAGAATCAGAAAGAATGCAAACATTTATAATGACATAATCTCAAGGCAAATTTCCTCGTGTAATAAACATTAGGCTCGTAATCAGAGGCTCCGAGAAAGGAGCAACTAGATATCCAAGATCGAATATTATTTACTTAATTGCCATAATGTTAATATGCTACTCTTATGTAGATCCCATTTTCCTTGTTTTCTTACACTTATTTCATGTCATTCTCTTTTTTCTCTTTCCTTCTCTAACAATCTTCGACTAAGCGATGAAAATCATAGGGTGTCGTACTCATTTCAAAAAAATTTTATAAACTGTTGAGGATTCCCGCTAAAGATCTTTCTAATAGGCCGTTATACAGTATGGGATAAATACAGGACGAAATTTATTTTACAGAAGGATTCTATTGTATCGGTCCCGATATATAAGAAATTATCTCGTTGAACCTATCCTACTAAAATATTGGTCCTTTATAGGGATAATATAATACTAAGATGTCACCAATCTCGTCGTACTTGGTAAAATAATATTTTAATATTTCATTATGAAATGAATAATTGAATTCCTCTTTCAATCACTGTTTGTTTACCTCGTTAGACTTTGATCAATCTAATATTTCTAAGCCGATCAGAAGAAATTTAGTACATTGCCTCATAACATACCGTCCATAAGGAAAAGGTTAATTAGAAGAACATTACAGAGAAGAAAATCTATGTGGATATATTTTTGTGATATTACTAGAAAAACAATAATTTATATAAACTTTGAATATAGCAATAATAAGGATCTTCAAGGTGTATATTAATACATATACATCATATAAAGTTATATGAAATGATAAGTAGACGGTTTTTATTTTATACAGATAATAATTTGATTCTACTACAGATTGTATGCTATTATTCATAGAATTCGTTGTGAATAAATATATTAATTATGTATTATATATATATATATATATATATATATATATATATATATATATATATATATAATACTATATATATATATATATATATATATATATATATATATATATAATACTATATATATATATATATATATATATATATATATTCATGCATCTATACTCGATGTTTTGATTAATTTCTTCTTTCAAATTTTAATCTTATTGGTTTCGTCGGAGTTAATGTGATGCTGAACTTTACGTCTATTTCTGCAATTTCAATTGGCTTGTTTATTATAACTCTAAATCTTTTTAGCAGTGTAGCTATTACTGTTATGATCTCCAGCATAGCGAATTGTTGACCTAAAAAAATAAAATCAATTGTAAATGCATTTTATTTTGAAATTTTCTGGAATATACATAAGAATAATCTATAGGAGTATGTAATTACCTATGCAATTTCTTTTTCCGTAACTAAATGGAAAGAAATACGAAGAAGAATTATTTTCCGGTAGGAACCTGTCAGGATCAAATACTAATGGTCGTGGCCAATATTTCGCATTTCTATGTATTTTATATATAAAAAATACTGCTGAACATCCTTTCGGTATTGTCCAATTTGAAGTAACTTAATATAATTAATAAATAAATATTACATAATACGTTCATATTATTAATAATGAAATATAAAACGTAAAACAATGAACAATAAATAAAATCATTTTGAATGCGTTGGTACCTTTTATATCTTGCGTTACTTTTCGTGCGACGACAGGACCTGCAGGAAATAGCCGTAACGTTTCCTTGATCACACGTTCCAAAAGGTTCATACTTTTAATATCATCATATGTCATTGAAACATTTTTTGGATCGTCCGAGCAGTAAATTCGATTAACTTCCTCATATACTTTGTCCTTTGTGATCGATGATTTGGAAGACATGATAAGAAATTAATATGATTATAATTTACGTCGGATACGTAATGACAAATTATTAAGAAAATATTATATATACGTACTTGAATTTCCGGGAATGAAACATTAAGAGGACAAAGCTAATGGTTGTGGCTGTAGTTTCGCTTCCCTGAAAGTAATATATAGTTTTGCTAAATTGTCATTAATAAAAAAAATGTTATTGCAATTAAAAATAATGAATACAACTTACAGCTAAAATTATTGTATTCATTTCATCGCGGATATCTTCCTGCGTATATCCTTCTTCTTCGTGCGATCTCTCGAATAAGAAATCGAAAATTGTCTTCCGTTTTTGTCCTTAAAATTGAACAAGATCCTATCATTAATAAATGACAAGATAGAAAATTAAATTTTATTAAAGGCATATTATTTATTTTTACCTAACTTTTCCGTCGTCGATTCTTGATTAATTTTACTTTTTAACATAGATCCCATTTTTTCTTTGATTATCTTTAGGAACAAAAAATATTGATATGCGTAGAAAATATTATATTAAAATTTTTGAATTTTGAAAAGAATGGAATTGAAAAAATATTTGCTTTAATGATACCTTAGTTGTTACGTTATCCAGGTAAGCCTTGCACGCCAGAAATTTCTTTCCTACAGCAGTGTTATAAAATATAATATTCGGATGTAACCATAATTTAAAGATTCTTTGTGTTACTATATCCATCGCACTGAAAGTGCACACAAAAAATGTTAAAAATATACATAATATATTACAAAAATAAAAGTATCGTTAGTACTACCATTTTATTGATTCAGCTAATTTACAATCCGGATTTGTCAGCGAATTTAGTTGCGTATTCAGCGTGGCATCTTTAAACATGAAATTTTGCAAAATTATAGTAAATTCAAACAAATGTACATAAATTTTATAAACATTAAAAGTTTCTAAATTAAAATACCACATATTATATCTAAAGAACAACGCAAGACATAATCAAAAATGTCTAATTCTTCTCCAACAAGAGTTTCTAATTTTTCCATTAATTCGACAGAATGATTAACAAATACATCCATATATGACTCTATATTTTTCATAAGGAACATTTTATTTAGAACTTTTCGATGTGAATCCCATACTGATGCTAAAATCAAATCAAAAAGAAAGCAATTAGTGTTTAATTTACATATTTCACTTATTTTACAAAAAATACTTATTACTTTAATTTACATATTTTATTTAATTTATACGTCTATACGTACATGTTTATAATAAAAGAGTAAATGAGAAAATATCTTGTACATATTCATATAATACTTTCATTTGTATGTATTTCATTTGTAAGTATAGAAGCAAAAATTTTTTACTATTCAATTTCATAAGACTAAATGATATAAAAAAGAATATATGATAATATATACTTAATATAATTATTTTTGTACTAGTAAACAATGTGGAAGATATATACTTCACCTGGAGCAGTTAACAATCCATTGCCCAAAGAAACTTTCAATTTTTCATATTCCTTGCTCTTATCAATAATATATGGACTTTTTAGTAAAGTCTTCCGTATTTAAAAAAAAAGAAAAAAATACAAAATGAAAAGATTATGATATCATTAAGAATTATTAAAATAACACTAACAGAACTTACCTTGACATATTCAGGATTCTCTATTATTAAAAATAATTTCGCGCCTATCCACATACGCCACAATAATTGATAATTCTTACCAATATTTAGCATTTGTTTGAATAGAGCTAGAATAGAGATTATAAATAATTATTGTATGAAATACTTAAATATAAAAGAATTAATGATATAAATTTACCGGTTGTGTCGCCAGTAAACAGATGAGCATTCCCAATTATAGGAAATGCTTTTGGTCCAGGAATTCCTTTCATAATATTAAACATATGTAATTTATTTAAAAAATATTCTGCTATTCCATAGTATAGTTCAAATAAAATTATTAGAATAATAAGTAATATTATGGTTAAATACATGATGAATTTTATCAATAGGAATATATATAAATAATTTAAATATAATGAAAATAATATTATATCCCTAATAATAATTGTTGAGATTTACGGATAACTTGATAGCACAGCGCAGCGGCTCCTACTACATTTCTGTCCTTACAGAAACTGAGGATGGAATAGAAAATCGAGGAATATTTAAAGAAAGCGTAAATCTAACTTTTCTAACGTGATTACCGCTTACAATTGGGATTTCTTTTTTGATTGGACAAGAACAGATTAGAAAGGTCGGAGATGGCACCAAAATTTGATTCTGTCCCCACTTCTTTTTAATACAAGAATTGCGATGACTGAACTTTGCGTAATAGACCGGTAGTTAATTAATTCTTCATTGGAATGACGAATATGTTATAAATCCAATGTTTATTCGTTTTAGGTTTTCATATATACTTCTACTTTAATTGTGCGAATGTAGACAAAACTTTAATTGATATTAAAAATTGAGAAGGTACTGAAAAATCTAGAAGAATGCATTTTTAAGTTTTTACTAATCTTTAAGAAAATTAATTTATAAGAATTTAGAAATAAGTATGAACTTCAATGTCTTTATCTATCGATCATTTATTGTATAGAATGTTATGAAATAATCAGATACTTTCGTGGCTTTTTTCAATTCTTATTTTATACTATAAAGACATTACGTAAAATGAAACACTTCCTCTTCTGCTATGTATCGTAAATTACTGTCGTCATACATGCCACGATTTATTCCATGTAGATGTATTCTTCTATTTATGATATTTTTTTTCTTATTATTACTATAGTGATAGTAGTAGGAGCTGAAGTAATATAAAGCGAACTCACACAGAAGAAAGCATAACGAAATAACACTAGGAGAAAAATCTCGTAGATAATGTGGAAAAGACCTTGAATTTTGATCCTTATTAAAAATAATATATAATGAATACGTCCACTAATATATGATATATGTATTCATTAATTCTGAAAAGTAATCGACAAATGTATATACTTTATATTCATATCTAATCTAACAAAATTATACTGTTGCTGTATCACGGATCACCGCGAAATTCTCATGAATTATTAGTAGAAGAAATATAGATAAGAGATTGAATATTAACAATTTACTAAATTATCAGATAAGGAGAAGTGGAGAGTAAATTAGTTGATTAGCTTTGTTAGAATCGAACGTAGGATTTCTTGCATTATTAATCTAAATGTTAGCAATTGTGCTACATATCGCTTACATAATCTCTATATTTTTAATCTATAAATATAATCTATAAATATAATAATAAATATAATTTAATATATAATCTATAAATAACTCCAAACATCACTAATAAATTTTTTCTTCGAAAAATGTTGAAAAAGACACTTTCGCCGTCAATGACGACAGATGTAATTCTTGAACAATAGAAAAATGGTGTCATTTTAAGGACGAAGATTTCATCCAATGTATTGAATTTTCGAAAAATTATCTTCGAAAGAAATCGTGTAAAGTATGTTATTTTTATTCGAGCATAATTTATGCATAAATTAAAAGTTCTTTCAAAAATTCGGGAAAGATATGCAGTAAACTCGATTTGAAATTGAGAACGTGATCGTCAAAATTGGTCAAGAATTATGCCTGTTCTCATGATGGCGTAAATCATTAAGAAATCCGGGTCAATGTCCTAGACTTACTGGTTTCGATGACATTACACTAGCCGCTAGGCTTGGAATTTGTCGGTTTTTTCTGCAAAATTAATTGTTTATATTACCGTGTTCCCGGAAATTAATGGAATATCGCAATGTCTTTTATGGATCTAGGAAAACTCGTGAGAAAGATACGCGATATAGAGCATTAAGTCAATTTAAATCTGTAAGGATGTAATTAAAGTATAAAGATAAAAAAATTGCGATATTCACGTTTCGTTATTGTGTATCGGTAATTATCCTAGTAAAACTCGGTTATCTTATTATTATTAGCTTTAAATGTGCAAATTAACTAAAATGGCAGTTTTTTGTCGAACTATCCGTGAAGATGATTAGAACGTGCACGGAAAGGAAAAGAATGATGCTGATTGATCCTGGTGTATCAGATTATACCGCTCGAAATGGTTAAATTCGATTGTATGTAAACGGTGCGAAACTGAATAACCTCCGCACTGCTATATAGAAATAATCTCATCTTTTAAAATTGAACTTTGTTCATTTAAATCAGATGGAAACGTTCATTAACAATGTTTTTAATTATTATTAAATGAGAAAAATTTTATTGAGATAATTATAATAGATATTTGGGAATAAGACATTATTATTTTTTGAAAGATATTCATTTTTCTCAGTTATCTGTTTGTTCTATTTGTAGATAGTATCGAATCATTTCTTGTCGTCAAGGTTGTCCCTTTCTCTTTTTCTTTCTATATTTCACAATAATCATAGAAGGAGGCGCGCATTATTGAATATTCATAAATGCGAGCGACGAGTCAGATTTTTTTCGATATTTTCCTACTTTTTCAAAATTTATTTTCTGGTCTCTTATTTTGCCCGGTCTTTGCCTACTGCTTTCCTATATAAACATAACGGGTGCATTACATAATCTATAGAGTTGTTATATTATCCTTTTTGTAAATTTAGATTATCTAAAAGTCCGGTTAGTATGACTTTTGGGACGGCGAAGAATAATCGGACATTTGAATTGGAGAATTGTTAACGTAATTAGAAATTTTTTTATAATACATTCTGGATTAATAGAATAGCATTGAGTAATGTATTATTATATGAGCTTATTTATCTGCGCTGTAAGTGATGGAATTATCAAAACGTCTAATTTCTTCATTGAATCTTGAAACGTTGAAATACTTCTTTAAATCGTCGAAAAACTGTTAATGAATAGAGAAGTCACAGTGTCATTTAAACATTGAATTATTTGAAGAAAGGAGCGTAAATAATTGTATAATTAAAACGGAATGGAAGAACTGATGATAAAATTTCCACAAAAAATTATTTTAAATATATATAATATTTAAGAAAATAGAAAGTAATAATTCCATAACGATGAATGCTACCTTTCCATTTTAATTACATATAACCGAGATAATAAAAAAAAGTAAAATCTCAAATTAATCGAAATATTTTTATTTTTTTGGTGAAATTATAAATACGATATCATCATTGAAAATTTTACCGACCGCAGATAGATAATATCTGTTTGTATATCGTAGTGCGTTTTTTCGACGGATATATTATCAAGATTTCAATTTTAGTAATTTACTATACTTTACTAAATGTAGTCTTTACAACAACCGTTGTTAGGGTAGACTTCTGTTGTATCGATATGAGGTAATGTTACATATTTATATTGTGTCGCCACCAGTAGCGTCTTGAATGGCTGTAGAGTATCCGAAGTGCCTGTAGCCTTCTAATTACACTAATCTAATCACACGAATTTTTTTTGGTTATTTCTTTTATAATTCTTATACGGGAGCAAGGATTTTTTTTCTTCTCTTTCCTTCACAATAGGGCAGTCAAACTACGCCAGGAAATATTTTCTTTAATTTAGTTATTCGATGAAATGATGAGAGAGGCTCCGAATATCATTCATTGCATTTATATTTCCTTCGTGGGTCTTTACTACTGACCTTTGCATTGGTTTCCTCTTGTTAGAGATAACTGAGGAATAATAGGACGAAGCGATGCTCAGTATTCGACATCCTTTTCTTCTCTTTTACGAATTGATTTATTTAGTATAAAATTGGTGATAGAAATTTACAATGAATAACAAGATTATAAGTCTTAATTGACGTAATTGCTAATTGTAAAGAACTGTGCTTAGCGATTGATTGCAACGAAGTGATCTTAACGACTGACTGGAATGAAGTGATCTTGACCGGCTGCAACGAACTGATAATAACGGCTGCGATGAATTTATCTAGACTACTGCGGATTATAAAGTTCTGACGATGAAGTGTTTTCTGCACGTACTTCGCCTGCACGCGCCCCCTTGCACGAGTCGTTCATTTGCGTTTTCCTGTCGTCAAGGACTATAAGCCATTACGTTACGTTGTTTCTGCAAGTACCTCCTTGGTCAGTTTTATCTCTGCACGTGTGGCTCTTGGGTGCGCTCCGATGCCAAGGGTAAAAGAGGTATGACGTATTTGCATTCCTGCAAGTACTTCATGTCCTCCTTTGTCTTCTCGTATTTCTTTACTACGTGTCTTATAGATAGTTCTAAATTATTTATTAACTACAAGTTGCAAATGATTATTCTTATGGGAAAGTTAGAGGAGAAACAAATAAAAAATGGTATTGTTCTACAAGCGCACGTATGCATGCCTATAAGGGTTTCTCTTCTTTAAAGTGTCTTTCATAGTTTCTGGTTGACCTACACATGAAGACGTGATAACATTAATGTACAGTTGAATTTATGAACGCAATTAGAAATTTAATGGATTAGCTATGATCGTTAGCCAATATCCAAACAGAATTAATAGCAAGGTTTTGATTACTCTATGGTAAAGAAAACAATAACGAAGAAAATTTATGGGTGCATGCTTTCCATTATCAATATTTATATTACTCCATTTAGTATCTGAGATGTATATTTACGCGTCCTTGCTAAAACTGGAATGTTATGAAAAAATATAGAGTGGGAAAGAAATTGCGAAATCGTAAATAATATTTTATATTTGCATCGGAAAGGGTTACGTAGAAATTTATTTCGATTTGCGTGATCTTTATACGTTTCATATCAGAATTGGTTTAAAATGATGATACAGTTATTGAGCCTGTAATTAAATATTATAATAGAATGGCTCATTAGATTAAAAGTATTTTTTAAGTACGTATACTCAATGACAAAACCTTGATGATGACTGATGCATCAAGCTGATGACAAATGTATAATTTAAAAGACATTTTGAGTGTTATGGTCAATTTACAGGAATGAGTGTTTCAGTAAATGAAGATATTTAATTTGATGCTATGTGTGTAAGTGCGAAGGAATGAGAGAATTAGGATGATATGAAATAGGAGAAAATGGAATGAGGGACATTTACATATGATTGGTATATTAATATAATGATAATTAAATATGCAATCATTCGACAGTTGCCGCAAATCAGATCGAATTGTTTTTCACTTCAATTATAGCTTCATAGCTGTCACACGTGTTAATTAAACCTTTATTTAATAACAAATACTTAATGTTCTTTGCTTTTCTTTCCTGCGATGAAATGGCTACTGTGATTGTACACGTGGAATTTTAATGGTAAATATAACAATACATATCGATTAATTTAGAAAGATTCGAATAATAAATACGACGTGTTATATGTATGATATATGTTATATAGCAATCATATATGTAGATTGTGACATATGACGATAATCATTTCTTTGTAATATCTTCAGTAAGAAGAAAATTATTATATATCTAAAATTATTTCAACAAGGTCGGTCGTGAAACAAAAAAACAGTCGAGTGTTAAGCTGATAATAAATTATTTCACTAGCAATTTGGGAATCATAGTCAATTGCTGTAATCAGATGTGAAATTACATAAATATATGTTAATGTTTGCTTCGACATCGGCACAGAGTGTTAAGCTATCTGAAATATGTGAATTCACGCTCAATCCGATCGCTTCCTCGTCGTATTCCTTTTTTAACATCTCTCAGTTCGTCTGCTAGAACGGACGATATATAATAATTTTATTTTTCCCTAAAAGTATTTTGTCGACATGAATATTGATGTATATCGACATATATCATTACATTAAATAATATGTAAATGGGATTAGTTAAACGAGATACATTATTTTTTTTGTTTGTAAAATCTAATTTTCGAAAGAGACAGAGAATCAGAAAGAATGCAAACATTTATAATGACATAATCTCAAGGCAAATTTCCTCGTGTAATAAACATTAGGCTCGTAATCAGAGGCTCCGAGAAAGGAGCAACTAGATATCCAAGATCGAATATTATTTACTTAATTGCCATAATGTTAATATGCTACTCTTATGTAGATCCCATTTTCCTTGTTTTCTTACACTTATTTCATGTCATTCTCTTTTTTCTCTTTCCTTCTCTAACAATCTTCGACTAAGCGATGAAAATCATAGGGTGTCGTACTCATTTCAAAAAAATTTTATAAACTGTTGAGGATTCCCGCTAAAGATCTTTCTAATAGGCCGTTATACAGTATGGGATAAATACAGGACGAAATTTATTTTACAGAAGGATTCTATTGTATCGGTCCCGATATATAAGAAATTATCTCGTTGAACCTATCCTACTAAAATATTGGTCCTTTATAGGGATAATATAATACTAAGATGTCACCAATCTCGTCGTACTTGGTAAAATAATATTTTAATATTTCATTATGAAATGAATAATTGAATTCCTCTTTCAATCACTGTTTGTTTACCTCGTTAGACTTTGATCAATCCAATATTTCTAAGCTGATCAGAAGAAATTTAGTACATTGCCTCCTAACATGCCGTCCATAAGGAAAAGGTTAATTAAAAGAACATTACAGGGAAGAAAATCTATGAGGATATATTTTTGTGATATTACTAGAAAAATAATAATTTATTCAAACTTTAAATATATCAATAATAAAGATCTTCAAGGTGTATATTAATACATATACATCATATAAAGTTATATGAAATGATAAGTAGACGGTTTTTGTTTTATACAAATAAAAATTTGATTCTACTACAGATTGTATGCTATTATTCACAGAATTCGTTATATATAAATATATTAATTATGTATTATATATATATATATATATATATATATATATGTAAAGAAAGTATACTTTCTTCGAGTAGATTTGCCACGCGTCTCATAGCCCGCCCTTCCATTGTCCTTTATTATTTACAATTTCTTTTGTGACCTACAAATCAAGTCATTAAGATTTGGAAAAGAATCGGGCAGTATGAAATGTAACATAGAAGAGAAAAGCAACACGAGAGCTGCAAGAAGATACATAAGATAAAAGAAATAAAATTTAACAGTGTGAATAATAAACATTAATTGTCGTTTCTTTGTTCACAGATAAGGCTAATTAGAACTAAGCATTAATTAACAAATAAAGATTTATCACTTTGTTCACAGAGAAACATATTTTCGTTTATCACTTCCCATAATCCATTCGAGATATATATATATATATATATATATATATATATATATATATTCATGCATGTATATTCTATGTTTTGATTAATTTCTTCTTTCAAATTTTAATCTTATTGGTTCCGTCGGTTTTAATGTGATGCTCAACTTTAGGTCTATTTCTGCAATATCTATTGGCTTGTCTATTATAACTCTAAATCTTTTTAACAGTGTAGCTATTACTGTTGTGATCTCCAGCATAGCGAATTGTTGACCTAAAAAAATAAAATCAATTGTAAATGCATTTTATTTTGAAATTTTCTGGAATATACTTAAAAATAATCTATAGGAGTATGTAATTACCTATGCAATTTCTTTTTCCGTAACTAAATGGAAAGAAATACGAAGAAGAATTATTTTCCTGTAGGAACCTGTCAGGATCAAATACTAATGGTCGTGGCCAATATTTCGCACTTCTATGTATTTTATATATGAAAAATACTGCTGAACATCCTTTCGGTATTGTCCAATTTGAAGTAACTTAATATAATTAATAAATAAATATTAGTACTACATAATACGTTCATATTATTAATAATGAAATATAAAACGTAAAACAATGAAAAGATGTGTATAAAATTATTTTGAATGCAGAGCTACCTTTTATATCTTGCGTCACTTTCCGGGCGATGATTGGAACAACAGGAAATAAACGTAACGTTTCCTTGATCACACGTTCCAAAAGTTTCATACTTTTAATATCATCATATGTCATTGAAACATTTTTTGAATCGTCCGAGCAGTAAATTCGATTAACTTCCTCATATACTTTGTCCTTTGTGATCGATGATTTGGAAGACATGATAAGAAATTAATATGAATATAATTTATGTCGGATACGTGATTTTTATTAAGTGAAATTATTAAGAAAATGTTATGTATAAGTACTTGAATTTCTGGCAATGAAGCAAGCATTAAGAGGACAAAGCTAATGGTTGTGGCTGTAGTTTCGCTTCCCTGAAAGTAATATATAGTTTTGCTAAATTGTCATTAATAAAAAAAATGTTATTGCAATTAAAAATAATGAATACAACTTACAGCTAAAATTATTGTATTCATTTCATCGCGGATATCTTCCTGCGTATATCCTTCTTCTTCGTGCGATCTCTCGAATAAGAAATCGAAAATTGTCTTCCGTTTTTGTCCTTAAAATTGAACAAGATCCTATCATTAATAAATGACAAGATAGAAAATTAAATTTTATTAAAGGCATATTGTTTATTTTTACCTAACTTTTCCGTCGTCAATTCTTGATAAATTTTACTTTTTAACATAGATCCCATTTTTTCTTTGATTATCTTTAGGAACAAAAAATATCGATATGCGTAGAAAAAATTATATTAAAATTTTTGAATTTTGAAAAGAATGGAATTGAAAAAATATTTGCTTTAATGATACCTTGTTTGTTACGTTATCCAGGTAAGCCTTGCACGCTAGAAATTTCTTTCCTCCAGCAGTGTTATAAAATATAATATTCGGATGTAACCAGAATTTAAAGATTCTTTGTGTTGCTATATCCATCCCACTGAAAGTGCACACAAAAAATGTTAAAAATATACATAATATATTACAAAAATAAAAGTATCGTTAGTACTACCATTTTATTGATTCAACTAATTTACAATCCGGATTTGTCAGCAAATTTAGTTGCGTATCCAGCGTGGTATCTTTAAACATGAAATTTTGCAAAATTATAATAAATTCAAACAAATGTACATAAATTTTATAAACATTAAAAGTTTCTAAATTAAAATACCATATATTATATCCAAAGTACAGCGAAAGACATAATCAAAAATGTCTAATTCAACTCCAACAAATGTTTCTAATTTTTCCATTAATGCGATAGAATGATAAATAAATACATCCATATATGACTTTATAATTTTCATATGGAACATTTTATTTAAAACCTTTCGATTTGAATCCCATACTGATGCTAAAATCAAATCAAAAGGAAAGCAATTAATCTATAATATACATATTGCTTTTATTTTACATAAATTACGTATTACTTTAATATACATATTTTATTTAATTTGTTCATCTATACGTACATGTTTATAATAAAAGAGTAAAAGAGAAAAGACCTTGTGCATATTTATATATAATACATTTATTTGTATGTGTAAGTAAAAGAGCAAAAATTTTTTACTATTCAATTTCATAAAATCAAATGGTACAAAAAAGAATATATTTGATAATTCATACTTAATATAATTATTTTTGTTCAAGTAAACAATGTGGAAGATATATACTTCACCTGGAGCAGTTAACAATCCATTGCCCAAAAAAGGTTTAAATTTTTCATATTCCTTGCTCTTATCAATAATATATGGACTTTTTAGTACAGTCTTCCGTATTTAAAAAAAAGAAAAAAATACAAAATGAAAAGATTATGAAATCATTAAAAATTATTAAAAAACCGCTAACGTATCTTACCTTGAAGTGTTCAGCATTGTCTAATACTAAAAATAATTTTGTTCCTAACCATAGACGCCACGATAATTGATAATTCTTATCAAGATTTATTAATTGTTCGAATAGAGCTAGAATAGAGATTTTAAATAAATATTGGATGAAATACTTAAATATAAATGAATTTATGATACAAATTTACCTGTTGTGTCGCCACGAAATAGATGAGCATTTCCAATAATTGGAAATGCTTTTGGTCCAGGAATGCCTTTGAGAGTATTAAACATATGTAATTTATTTAAAAAGTATTCTGCTATTCCGTAGTGTATTTCAAATAAAATTATTAGAATAATAAGTAATATTATGGTTAAATACATGATGAATTTTATCAATAGGAATATATATAAATAATTTAAATATAATGAATATAATATTATATCCCTAATAATAATTGTTGAGATTTACGGATAACTTGATAGCACCGCGCAACGACTCTTACTACACTTCTGTCCTCACAGAAACTGAGGATGGAATAGAAAATCGAGGAATATTTAAAGAAAGCGTAAATCTAACTTTTCTAACGTGATTACCGCTTACAATTGGGATTTCTCTTTTGATTGGACAAGAACAGATTAGAAAGGTCGGAGATGGCACCAAAATTTGATTCTGTCCCCAGTTCTTCTTAATACAAGGATTGCGATGACTGAACCTTGCGTAATAAACCGGTTGTTAATTAATTCTTCATTGGAATGACGAATATGTTATAAATCTAATGTTTATTCGTTTTAGGTTTTCATATATACTTCTGCTTTAATTGTGCGAATGTAGACAAAACTTTAATTGATATTAAAAATTGAGATGGTACTGAAAAATCTAGAAGAATGCATTTTTAAGTTTTTACTAATCTTTAAGAAAATTAATTTATAGGAATTTAGAAACAAGTATGAACTTCAATGTCTTTATCCATCGATCATTTATTAGATAGAATTTTATGAAATAATCAGATCCTTTTGTAGTTTTTTACAATTCATATTTTATGCCGTAAGGATACCGTAAAGGATACCGTAAAAGGAAACACTTCTTCTGCTATGTACCCTAAATTTCCGTCATCATATGTGCCATGATGTATTCAATGTAGATATATTCTTCTATTTATGATATTTTTCTTCTTATTATTACTATAGTAATAGTAGTAATAACTAAAATAGTATAAATGAACTCCCACAGAAGAAAACATAACGAAATAACGCTGGCAGAAAAGTTTCGCAGATAATGTGGAAAAAACCTTGAGTTTTGATTTTTATTAAAAATAATACATAATGTAAAAGTTCACTAATATTGGATATATATGTTCATTAATTCTGAAAAAATTATCGACAAATGTATATATTTTATATTCATATCTAATCTAACAAAATTATACTGTTGCTCTATCATGGATCACAGCGAAATTCTTGTGAGTTATTAGTAGAGGAAATATAGATAAGAGATTGAATAGTAACAACTTACTAAATTATCAGATAAGGTGAATGGGAGAGTAAATTATTTGATTAGTTTCGTTAGAATCGAACGTAGGATTTCTCGTATTACTAATCTAAATGCAAGCAAATGTACTACACATTGCTTACATAATCTCTATATTTTTATTCTATAAATATAATGAAGAACTACAAACATCAGAGTAATACATTTTTTCATATAAAAATATCAAAAACAACATTTACGCCGTCAATGACGACAGATGTAATTCTTGAACAATAGAAAAATGGTGTCATTTTAAGGACGAAGATTTCATCCAATGTATTGAATTTTCGAAAAATTATCTTCGAAAGAAATCGTGTAAAGTATGTTATTTTTATTCGAGCATAATTTATGCATAAATTAAAAGTTCTTTCAAAAATTCGGGAAAGATATGCAGTAAACTCGATTTGAAATTAAGAACGTGATCGTCAAAATTGGTCAAGAATTATGCCTGTTCTCATGATGGCGTAAATCATTAAGAAATCCGGGTCAATGTCCTAGACTTACTGGTTGCGATGACATTACACTAGCCGCTAGGCTTGGAATTTGTCGGTTTTTTCTGCAAAATTAATTGTTTATATTACCGTGTTCCCGGAAATTAATGGAATATCGCAATGTCTTTTATGGATCTAGGAAAACTCGTGAGAAAGATATGCGATATAGAGCATTAAGTCAATTTAAATCTGTAAGGATGTAATTAAAGTATAAAGATAAAAAAATTGCGATATTCACGTTTCGTTATTGTGTATCGGTAATTATCCTAGTAAAACTCGGTTATCTTATTACTATTAGCTTTAAATGTGCAAGTTAACTAAAATGGCAGTTTTTTGTCGAACTATCCGTGAAGATGATTAGAACGTGCACGGAAAGAAAAAGAATGATGTTGATTGATCCTGGTGTATCAGATTATACCGCTCGAAATGCTTAAATTCGATTGTATGTAAACGGTGTGAAGCTGAATAACCTCCGCACTGCTATATAGAAGTTAATCTCATCTTTTAAAATTGAGCTTTGTTCATTTAAATCAGATGGAAACGTTCATTAACAATGTTTTTAATTATTATTAAATGAGAAAAATTTTATTGAGATAATTATAATAGATATTTGGGAATAAGACATTATTATTTTTTGAAAGATATTCATTTCTCTCAGTTATCTGTTTATTCTATTTGTAGATAGTATCGAATCATTTCTTGTCGTCAAGGTTGTCACTTTTTCTTTTTCTTTCTATATTTCACAATAATCATAGAAGGAGGCGCACATTATTGAATATTCATAAATACGAGCGACGAGTCAGATTTTTTTCGATATTTTCCTACTTTTTCAAAATTTATTTTCTGGTCTCTTATTTTGCCCGGTCTTTGCCTACTGCTTTCCTATATAAACATAACGGGTGCATTACATAATCTATAGAGTTGTTATATTATCCTTTTTGTAAATTTAGATTATCTAAAAGTCCGGTTAGTATGACTTTTGGGACGGTGAAGAATAATCGGACATTTGAATTGGAGAATTGTTAACGTAATTAGAAATTTTTTTATAATACATTCTGGATTAATAGAATAGCATTGAGTAATGTATTATTATATGAGCTTATTTATCTGCGCTGTAAGTGATGGAATTATCGAAACGTCTAATTTCTTCATTGAATCTTGAAACGTTGAAATATTTCTTTAAATCGTCGAAAAACTGTTAATGAATAGAGAAGTCACAGTGTCATTTAAACATTGAATTATTTGAAGAAAGAGCGTAAATAATTGTATAATTAAAACGGAATGGAAGAACTGATGATAAAATTTCCACAAAAAATTAGTTTAAATATATATAATATTTAAGAAAATAGAAAGTAATAATTCCATAATGATGAATGCTACCTTTCCATTTTAATTACATATAACCGAGATAATAAAAAAAAGTAAAATCTCAAATTAATCGAAATATTTTTATTTTTTTGGTGAAATTATAAATACGATATCATCATTGAAAATTTTACCGACCGCAGATAGATAATATCTGTTTGTATATCGTAGTGCGTTTTTTCGACGGATATATTATCAAGATTTCAATTTTAGTAATTTACTATACTTTACTAAATGTAGTCTTTACAACAACCGTTGTTAGGGTAGACTTCTGTTGTATCGATATGAGGTAATGTTACATATTTATATTGTGTCGCCACCAGTAGCGTCTTGAATGGCTGTAGAGTATCCGACGTCCCTGTAGCCTTCCAATTACAGCAATCTATTTACGCGGATCTTTTTCGGTTAATCCTTTTAGGAATCTCTACGTGAGCGAGGATCATTTTTCCTCTTTTTCCTTCACAATAGGGCAGTCCCCTTCATTCCTTCCCTTTTCATTCTCTTTTACGAATTGATTTATTTAGTATAAATCGGTGATAGAAATTTACAATGAATAACAAGGTTTTAAGTCTTAATTAACTTACCTGCTAATTGTAAATAACTGTGCTTAGCGACTGACTGCAACGAAGTAATGATAACGGCTGCGATGAATTTATCTAGACGATTGCGGATGAGAAAGCCCTGACGATGAAGTGTTTTCTGCTGCGGGTTCTTCTGCAGCGTCTATTCGCGAGGCGCGTATTGTGCACGCGCCTCTTCTGCACACACCCCCTTGCACTAGTCTTTCTCGCGCGTTTTCCTGTCATCAGGGGCTATAAGCCATTGCGTTACGCTTTCCTTGCATGTTCTTCCTTGGTCAGTTTTATCTCTGCACTTGTGTCTCTTGGGCGCATTCCGTCGCTAAAGGTGAAAAAGTTATGATGCATCTGCATTCCTGCACGTACTTTTTGTCCTCCTTTTTCTTCTCATATTTCTTTACTACATGTCTTATAGATAGTTCTAAATTTATTATTAACTACATGCTGCAAATGATTATTCTTATGGGAAAGATAGAAGAGAAACAAATGAAAAGTAGTATCGCTCTATAAGCACACGTATTCGTGCCTATAAGAGTTTCTCTTCTTTAAAGTGTCTTTCATAGTTTCTGGTTGACCTACACACGAAGAGGTGACACCTTTCCCCTTAAGTAAATCGTTCGGACTTCGGTGCTTCGGTGACTTAGTACCGCGTATTGCAATTATTTTCTCAAGAATAGGGTACCTATTACCGATGTCCTTGTGATGGGGGTCGGAGTCGCATCGCTTCCTTTTGCTAGCATTGGTTGTTCATATTCGACACTTACACTAGTTTCGTTGTCGTTCCTGACCTTGTCCTTGTGGCTTCTCGGTGGTCGTTATCGTCCTAAGTGTAAAACAAATGTATCAATGAACTCCAGATTGCACCTAGCAGATGTAAATTCCAACTATACACTGTGTGGAGCATATATCCTCGGCTATCCGCATCAATACACATTTTAATGCCCTTTATTACTATAAATAGTCCGATAACCCCGGCACTTGCTGATCCGAATACTAAAAATCCTTGCGACAATTTCGAGAGGGTGTTCTCGTTTATTTTAGTGAGATCACCTTCTCCTAGTAGGTTGTACAATGAGATGATGTTTGGTGGAACATTGTGTCCGGTTGCTTCTCTCGCTATAGTATTTAGAAGACTGTCTTTCACCCGGGAACATGATATGATCCTTTAGATTCTTCAGGTTTTTGCTGGGAGTAAATTTCGTTCGTCATCAAATGGTACGTATACGTGACTGAAATTTGAGAAATAATGACAAATCAAATGATTATTAACATATCATGGACAAAAAATCAATATCTCACGTGACACGGGAATGTAACATTTGTTACTTTCTCCTATTGATTAATTTTACGTTCAGTCTGGAAAAGGAAACCTATAAAGGATACATTTTTGAGTTTGTACATATTTATATAATAATTTTAATTCAAAGGAGTATATTTAAGAATTTGAAAATTAGTAATAAAAATGATATTGATTGGACATCAATTAATTATTAATTATATCAAATCATTTCAAATTATGAGGGATTGGTGGATATTTGACTTATGAAGTTAATACGTATTTATTTTGCCTAAATGTTATCAATTACTATGTACAAAATTCCTTACCATCCATAAAAATAAGAAATAAAAGGAACATATAAAAGATGTAGAACATTTTAGGAAAATATGAATGTACTTATAAGATACGAATTTTTGTTATGAAGCAGTTACGTTTAATACTATACTATAATCCATTACTCGGTACTTTGTGATTCTTTCTTCTTTTAATCGCGCTGTTTACTTTTAAAATTGTCAGTTCATTAATCATGCTTTCAGCCGTGTGAAACTAAAGGTTCTCTATTTCCTGTTTACATTCAAATTCAACATTTAATAAGCGATCTAAATAATTATTCCAAGTATTTAGTACTCCATTTGAGTCAATAATAAAATTATCGTTCTCATTTTTCACCATTTCCGTTCCATCATGGAATCCTTTTAGAAAATTATTTATTACATTGTACATACCACGGACGTTACTGCTTTGACGATTTTTATCTATTTCTTGTCCTTTTTATACATATTGTTATTTTTTATACTTTTAATAATAATATTATTATTAGTAATATTGTTATGAGCCGACGTAGAGAAGTTTGAAGTGAATTCGGAACTAGATGACCGTCTTTAGACATCCATTAGAAATTTGGACACGTAAACATCGGTTGTCATTCGTCTTCTACGATAACCCGAACTAAGAGAACTTCGAAAATATCTGAATATTTTATTAAAAGAGTTAATCTGTTAAACTGTTCACTGTAAATAAGGTGTTGTTTTTGTTATCAAAATATTTTTTTGTTTTAACGTGTGGTTGCGGATAACAACAAATTATTTTTAATATCTGTGTTTATTATCTAATGTACTTCAAGAATTAAAACTGGAAATTCTTATTTTTTTTTATGAACAAGATAATTAATGATTATTGAAGTAGAAATACACATTATAATAAGAAACGAATGAAAATTTAATTACACAAATTATTTATCAGTCCATTAAAGAACCAAATGAATAAGATTTTATGCATTAGTAATGTTGTCGCATTTATATTTTTTATAAGTAGTGTTATAAAATGATCATTATCGAGCGATCGTGCAAAAGAAACGTTTGCGTAAACAAATTCCGATTGAATATACAAAGTCCATAGGCCACAAAATTTAAATAACTACTGTTTCCCTCTTCACTCTTCACTTTCACTGTTGCGGCAGGAAAATCGTAGGAGTTGCATTGTGGAAACAGAGTGTCTGTAAATCACAAAATTTATAACCATAATCGCTAGATTATTTTTATTTTATTAAGTTATTTCCATACATTCTATTTGAATCAGTTTATCATGGAATTCACTGTAATATTAATTATTATTGTAAAAATTTTATTTGCTCTATGGAATAGCAGATTATTTTTTAAATAAATTACATATGTTTAATAAGATTAAAGGAATCTCTGGTCCAAAAGCATATCCAATTATTGGAAATATTCATTTATTTATTGGTGATATAGCTGGTGAATTTGTATCTTATATTTTTTATATTGAAGTATTTTACCCGATATTTATTCATAATTTTTTTTTTAGCTTTACTCAACCAAATATTAAATCTCGATAAGAATTATCAATTATTGTGGCGTGTATGGCTAGGAATAAAATTATTTGTAATCGTAGACAATCCCGAATATATCAAAGTAAGATATATTAACGTTATTTTAATAATTTTTAATAATTATTATTATCTTTTCTAATAATTATTATTATTCTTATTATTATCTTTTATTATTATTATCTTTTTAATTCGTATTTTTATTTTTTTTCGGAAGACTGTATTCAATAGTCCAAATATTACTGATAAGAGCGTGGAATATGAAAAATTTAAACCTTTTGTGGGCAATGGTTTGTTAACTGCTCCAGGTGAAGTATATTTTCTACACTGTTTATTAATACTTAAATATATATATATATATATATATATATATATAAAAATATTAAATTTTAGAAAATTGAACAGTAAAAATTCTTGCTCCTTTATATGCACATACAGATAAATGTATTATATGTATGTCTAGACGAATAAAATAAGTAAAGCATGTAAATTAAAGTATTGCTTTCCTTTTGATTTTAAGCATCATTGTGGAATCGACATCGAAAAATGTTAAATGACGTGTTCCTTTTAAAACATACAAAATCGCATATGGATCTATTCATTAATTATTCTATCGTTTTAATGAAAAAATTGGAAACTTCAATTGGAGAAGAATTAGACGTTTTCCATTACATTTTTCGCTGTACATTGGATATAATATATGGTAGAATTTAGAAATTTTTATATATATATATAAAATTGACGTTTTTGTTTAAAGTTTATTATAATTTTGTAAAACTTTTTACTGGAAGACGGCATGCTGGGTACGAAATAAATTCGCTAACAAATACGGATTGCAAATTAGTTGAATCAATAGAATGGTAATAACAATGAAACTATTATTTTCGTAATATATTGTATGTTTTTCATCTGCTTTTTCAGTGGAATGGATATAGCTATACAGAGGATCTTCAAATTATGGTTACATCCGAACATAATTTTTTATAACACTGCTATAGAAAAGAAATATCAGGCGTGTTTGTTTTATCAGGATAACTTTATAAACAATGTATAATTAGAAGAAACATTTTTTAAATTGTATTCCTACTTTTCAAAATTTCAAAATTTTAATATTTTATTTTATATATATATATATATATATATATATATATATAGTTGTTTTTTATTCCTAAAGATAATCAAAGAAAAAAAATAATTTATATTGAAAAGTAAAATTAATCGGGAATTGACAGAGAAAAATTTAAGTAAAAATATGAAATATACGTTTAATAAAATTTAATTTTCAATCTTTTCATTTATTAATGATATTAATGAGATTCTTGTTCATTTTTCAAAAACCAAAGTTAAGGACACTTCTAGATTTTTTATTTGAAATATCGCACGAAAGGGGAAAATATTCGGAGCAAGATATTTCCGAGCAAATCAATACGATGGTTATAGCTGTAAGTCGTAATTATTATTTAGCTGCAAAAAAATTTTGTTTACTGAAGAAAATTAAAAAAATCTGTATTTTGCTTTCAGAGAAGCGAAACTTCAGCCACAATCATTAGCTTTGTCCTCTTAATGCTTGCTACATTCCCGGAAATTCAAATACGTATATATAACATTTCTTTAATAATTTGTCATTACGTATCGGACGTAAATTATATTCATATTTACTTTTTATCCTGTCTTCCACATATTCGATCACAAAGGACAAAGTATATGAGGAACTAAATCAAATTTACTGCTCGGACGATCCGAAAAGTGTTCCAATAACATATAATAATATTAAAAGTATGAAACTTTTGGAACGTGTGATCAAGGAAACGTTACGTCTATTTCCTGCAATTCCAGTTATTGCCCGGAGAGTGACGTTAGGTATAAAAGATATCTCTGCATACAAGATGACTTGTTTTATGCTTTTTATCATTCATAATATATATCATTTTTATTATATAGTAATAATATTTTTTATTAATTGTATTAAGTGAGAGAAGGTTGGACTATATCGAAAGGTAGTTCAGCAGTATTTCTCATTTATGAACTTCATAGAAGCGCAAAATATTGGTCACGGTCATTAGTATTCGATCCCGATAGATTCCCACCGGAAAAGAATTGTTCTACATATTTATTTCCATTTAGTTACAGTCGAAGAAATTGCATAGGTAATTACATACTCCTATAGATTATTTGATAGTATAGTCCAGAAAATTCTAAAATAAATTGATTTTATTTTTTTAGGTCAAAATTTTGCTATACTAAATATAACAGTAATCATTGCTAGGCTGATAAGAAAATTTCTAATTAAAATAGATAATCCAATAGGAATTACTGAAATAGGTTTAAAGATGAGCCTCACATTAAAACCGGCAAAACCAATAAGAGTAAAATTTGAAAGTAGAAATTAATTAAAACATATAACATATATATAATACATAATTAATATATATACATAACGAATTCTGTGAAATATGGTATAGAATCTGTAGCAGAAACAAATTATTATCTGTACAAAATAAAAACTGTACAATAACCGTTGACTAATTATTTCGTATAATTTGATATAATGAATAAATAATTAATAGATCCCTCGAAGGTCATTCTCATTGCTTATTTCGAAATTCTAATAAATTAATATTTTAATACATTCTCTCTCTCCCTCCTTCTCTCCCTCTCTTTCACTCTCTCTCTCTCATATTCTTAGCAGGAATTTGTTAATATTATTCATGAATGTCAATTAAAGTATTAGATTTATATGGAGTTGTGTAAATTCTTGCAGGAATACTTTATTTATTCACGAAATTGTTTTCAAACGATCCTGCTAAAGAGCCTTTAGAAAATAAAGAATAAATAGATGATGAGATTTTTTAAATGCTAAAATGACCATTTTGTTAAACTAATCTTTTCTTTAGGCATTTAATGAAAGACATGTTATAACAATTGAATAGAAACTATACAAGTAATGCCTTTTCATCGTATTTAACAATATTAAGAAGAATAAAATTCACTCATTAATTATACATTATATACATGTTCTACTCTCTGCTATCATGCCTAGTGTTCTATATAGATAATTATTTTTTTTGCTCTTTCACTCTCGCAATGTCGCTTTTTGCTATCCACCTGTACGTTTTTTAGAACATGGGCCAACGATCTATATCCGGTGTAAGGTGCTCGCCTAATCTCTGCACATGGACTGACATTCAATCATGTGGCTACATTTATTCTTTACGTTTGTTTTTATATAATATTTAAATTGTATTCCATAAATTCTAGAAAATGCATTTACTATATTTTACATTCTTAGATAAAAAATTCGCAATGCTATAAATAAAGGTAATAATTGCTATTTTGCTAAAATATTTTGTTAAAATATATGATTTATCATTAAAATACGGCCAGTAGCAATAGAAGAAATTCTAATAAAAATGAACGTTACGTTAAAGCCGGCGAGAAGTCTAATGTTTAATTTATATAAATATAATATATAGATAATTAATATATAAACATAACGAATCCTGTGGATAATTGTAGGTAATCTGTACCAGATATAAATTATTAACCGTATAAAATAAGAATTGTACAAAAACTACAAAAGGATCTCATTATTTTATACGATTTTATATAATAAATGGTCAATGGCAAAAGACTTTCTCTAATTTTAACAACATTGAGTAAGTTAATGTTATCCAATGAAGTTATGTTTCTGAAGTGGTCCGTGAAATTTTCCTGAATGATAACTACTTTAGAATTTATCGCCAATCAGTTTGAAAGTATTACTAACTAACATTGAAATCGTTCAATAATCTGATCTTTTTATCAGTGTAGCGATTACTGTTGCCATCTCTAGCATAGCGAAATTTTGACCTAAAAAAATAAAATCAATAGTAAATGCATTTTATTTTGAAATTTTCTGGAATATACTTAAAAATAATCTATAGGAGTATGTAATTACCTATGCAATTTCTTCGACCGTAACTAAATGGAAAGGAATACGTAGAACAATATTTTTCCGATAGAAACCTATAGGGATCGAATACTAATGGCCGTGGCCAATATTTCGCGCTTCTATGTAGTTTATAGATGGGACATACTGCTGAACATCCTTTCGGTATTGTCCAATTTGAAGTAACTTAATATAATTAATAAATAAATATTAGTACTACATAATACGTTCATATTATTAATAATGAAATATAAAACGTAAAACAATGAAAAGATGTGTATAAAATTATTTTGAATGCAGAGCTACCTTTTATATCTTGCGTCACTTTCCGGGCGATGATTGGAACAACAGGAAATAAACGAAACGTTTCCTTGATCACACGTTCCAAAAGTTTCATACTTTTAATATCATCATATGTCATTGAAATATTTTTTGAATCGTCCGAGCAGTAAATTCGATTAACTTCCTCATATACTTTGTCCTTTGTGATCGATGATTTGGAAGACATGATAAGAAATTAATATGAATATATAATTTATGTCAGATACGTAATGACAAATTATTAAGGAAATGTTATATATATGTATTTGAATTTCCGGGAATGTAGCAAGCATTAAGAGGACAAAGCTAATGGTTGTGGCTGAAGTTTCGCTGTCCTGAAAGTAATATACAGTTGTTCTTAATTGTCATTAATAAAAAAATTTTATTGCAATTAAAAATAATAAATACGACTTACATTTATAATTATTGTATTTATTTTATCGCGGATATCTTTCTCCGTATATACTTCTCCTTTGTGCGATAACACGAATAAAAAATCAAAGTGTCTTCTATTTTTGTCCTTAAAAAATAAACAAGAATTTATGATTAATTGATGACAAGATTGAAAATTAAATTTTATTAAAGATATATTGCTTACTTTTATTTAACTTTTCCGCTGTCAATTCTCGATTAATTTTACTTTTTAACATAGATCCCATTTTTTCTTTGATTATCTTTAGGAACAAAAAATATCGATATGCTTAGAAAATATTATATTAAAATTTTTTAATTTTGAAAAGAATGGAATTGAAAAAATATTTGCTTTAATGATACCTTGTTTGTTACGTTATCCAGATAAGCCATGCACGCCTGAAATTTCTTTCCTCTAGCAGTGTTATAAAATATAATGTACGGATGTAACCATAATTTAAAGATTCTTTGTGTTACTATATCCATCTCACTGAAAGTGCACACAAAAAATATTAAAAATATACATAATATATTACAAAAATAAAAGTATCGTTAGTACTACCATTTTATTGATTCAGCTAATTTACAATCCGGATTTGTCAGCGAATTTAGTTGCGTATTCAGCGTGGCATCTTTAAACATGAAATTTTGCAAAATTATAGTAAATTCAAACAAATGTACATAAATTTTATAAACATTAAAAGTTTCTAAATTAAAATACCACATATTATATCTAAAGTACAACGCAAGACATAATCAAAAATGTCTAATTCTTCTCCAACAAGAGTTTCTAATTTTTCCATTAATTCGACAGAATGATTAACAAATACATCCATATATGACTCTATATTTTTCATAAGGAACATTTTATTTAATACTTTTCGATATGAATCCCATACTGATGCTAAAATCAAATTAAAAGGAAAGCAGTTAGTCTTTAATTTACATATTTTAATTATTTCACATATATTATATATTACCTTAATTTACATATTTTATTTTATTAGTTCATATATACGTACATGTTTATAATGAAAGAGCAAAAGAGAAAAGATCTTGTGTATATTTATATATTACATTCATTTGTATTTGTAAGTAAAGGAGCAAAAATATTTTACTATTCAATTTCAAAAGATTAAATGTTACAAAAAAGAATATATTTGATATTACATACTTAATATAATTACTTTTGTACTAATAAATAATGTGGACGATATATACTTTACTTGGAGCGGTTAACAAACCATTGCTTATAAAAGGTTTCAATTTTTCGTATCTCTCGCTCTTATCAATAATATTTGGACTTTTTAGTACAGTCTTCCGTATTTTATTAAAAAAAATAAAAATACAAAATGAAAAGATTATGAAATCATTAAAAATTATTAAAAAACCACTAACGGATCTTACCTTGATATATTCTGGATTGTCCACCATTACAAGTAATTTCGTTTCTATCCGTACACGCCACAATAATTGATAATTCTTATCAAGATTTATTAATTGTTCGAATAGAGCTAGAATAGAGATTTTAAATAAATATTGGATGAAATACTTAAATATAAATGAATTTATGATACAAGTTTACCTGTTGTGTCGCCAATAAACAGATGAGTATTTCCAATTATTAGAAATGCTTTTGGTCCAGAAATGCCGTTGAGAATATTAAACATATATAATTTATTTAAAAAGTATTCTGCTATTCCGTAGTCTATTCCAAATAAAATTGTTAGAATAATAATTAATATTACGGTTAAATACATGATGAATTTTATCAATAGGTCTATATATATAAATAACTTAATTATAATGAAAATAATATTATATCCCTAATAATAATTGTTATTATTACTTGATAGCACAGCGCAGCGGCTCCTACTACATTTCTGTCCTTACAGAAACTGAGGATGGAATAGAAAACCGAGGAATATTTAAAGAAAGCGTAAATCTAACTTTTCTAACGTGATTACCGCTTACATTTGAGATTTCTCTTTTGATTGGACAAGAACAGATTAGAAAGGTCGAAGATGGCACCAAAATTTGATTCTGTCCCTACTTCTTCTTAATACAAGGATTGCGATGACTGAACCTTGCGTAATAAACCGGTTGTTAATTAATTCTTCATTGGAATGACGAATATGTTATAAATCCAATGTTTATTCGTTTTAGGTTTTCATATATACTTCTGCTTTAATTGTGCGAATGTAGACAAAACTTTAATTGATATTAAAAATTGAGATGGTACTGAAAAATCTAGAAGAATGCATTTTTAAGTTTTTACTAATCTTTAAGAAAATTAATTTATAAGAATTTAGAGAAAAGTATGATCTTCAATGTCTTTATCCATTGATCATTTATTGTATAGAATCTTATGAAATAATGAGATCCTATTGTAGTTTTTTACAATTTTTATTTTATACTGTAAAGACACCACGTAAAATGAAACACTTCCTCTTTTGCTATGTATCGTAAATTACTGTCATCATATGTGTCATGATTTATTCCATATATTCTTCTATTTATAATATTTTTCTTCTTATTATTACTATAGTAATAGTAGTAATAACTGAAATAATATAAAGTGAACTCCCACAGAAGAAAACATAACGAAATAACGCTGGCAGAAAAGTTTCGCAGATAATGTGGAAAAAACCTTGAGTTTTGATCGTTATTAAAAATAATATATAATGTATACGTTCACTAATATAGGATATATATGTTCATTAATTCTGAAAAAGTAATCGACAAATGTATATACTTTATATTCATATCTAATCCAACAAAATTATATCGTTGCTGTATCACGGATCACCGCGAAATTCTCGTTAGTTATTAGTAGAAAAAATATACATAAGAGATTGAATAGGAACAACTTACTAAATTATAAATAAGGAGAAGGGGAAAGTAAATTAGTTCATTATTTTCGTTAGAATCGAACGTAGGATTTCTTGTATTACTAATCTAAATGCTAGCAAATGTGCTACACAATGCTTTCATAATCTTTATATTTTCAATTTATAAACATAATGAAAAACTACAAACATCAGAGTAATAAATTTTTTCATCGAAAAATGTCGAAAACAGCATTTACGCCGTCAATGAAGACAGAAGTAATTTTTGAACAATTGAAAAAAGGTGTCATATTGAGGACGAAGATTTAATCCAATGTATTGAATTTTCGGAAAATTATCTTCGAAAAAAATCGTGTAAATTATATTATTTTTATTCGAAGATAATTTATGCATAAACTAAAAGTTCTTTCAAAAATCCGGAAAAGATATGCAGTAGACTCGTTTTGAAAATGAGAACGTGATCATCAAAATTGGTCAAGAATTATGCCTGTTCTCATGATGGCTTAAATCATTAAGAAATCCGAGATAATGAAGAGCCTTTAGATTATTTTAAGCAAATAAGTGAAAAATCCGAAATTTTTTGATTCACTGATACAATGATTTTATGTAATAGATGTCTGTAATAGATAACTATAACTTTATATTCTACATTTTCTAATATGGAGCAATTTTAACAGCGAATTCTTTGACTCTAATTGAAATGAACCTTATGCTATTGTTATTTTTTAGATTATTGTTTTTCAAATATTACCAATAGGCTCATATTCTTTTGTTTGTATTCAAATATGTCATTAAGATACAAAATTATGTTAGGTTTAGAATTATATAATATCTCGATATGAATGATGATTAATTTTAGAAATGAAAATGTGATAATTGATATAATTATAATGGTAGATATAGGAATATTTTAATAGATTTTTTATGTATTATCATTTTATTTTTGAGATTGCAACTAGGATCACTGAAATATTGCAGGTATTGTTATTCAGATATTGGAGATTATTTGTCGCACATATTAATGCCGTAAGTGAATGAAGCTTACATCATAGAATTAGAATATATGATATGTGCTAGCGGAATTGGAAATAATAATATTTTCCTTTACTACAATGATTTGACAGTGTACCTGAAAAAGTAACCGAAGTGCAACTGAGGGCACATGAAGTATATAAATATAGATAACTGCATTGAATAGAGCTTTTGTATAGTGATGGATATAGAGAAGTTTCTAACAAAAAGGGAGTCTTTGGAATGATAATATTTGGGACTTCTTTGGGATAAACAACAAGCAAGCAATGAATAATTACTCGCGTAGTGTAAGAAGACCTACGTAGTATAAATAGTTCTTTTCTTATTTAGACTTTAAACACTTTGTTTGTAATAAAACAATTTTTGATATAATATTTTCAAAATTTATGTAATAGTTTATGTATGTTATTATATGATCATAAATAAGATTCTTTTTATTTTATTTTTCTTGTTCATGAAATAATCATTAAGAGTGAAATAAAGTATCGAAATAGACTTGACCGTTACTAGGCCCTTATTGCGTAAAATATAAATACAATCCATTAAAATATAAAAACAATTACCTGGAAAATATAGTGCGTAAAATATAAAAACAATTACCAGTATATTGTTTACGAAGCCATTTATTGGAGCAAAGACAAAAAGGGACACATATTACGTCGTATCATATTGAAAGTATTTGGTTTATGTCAAGTGAAAACTTGTTGCGTCTTACGTTCCTAACTAAGGGAGCGTGTTACGTTGCATTTCTCGTACCGTGATAATGGTCGAATTGCATTGAGGATATCATCATCAATGTTATAAACCCACTGGTCGTCATGAAAAATGGCAATTGGGAATTTTTTAATTTTCAAAACTACTGGGATAATACAATGTCTTTGATGGATCCTGGAGAATTCATGAGGAAGATGCGTGATAAAAGGCACCATGTGAATTTAAAATTATAACGATATATTTGAAGTATTGAGATGCGAAGGTTTCGGTTGTCTCACTATTTTTAGCTTCAAATGTAGAGGTTGATTATCACGATGGTTCGTGTTGTCAAGAATGTCTCTCTCTCTCTTTCTATTATTCCCCCTTGCCATCTAATTTTTATTGATATAGAGAGTATATACACGCGCGTACGTATGCAGGCACGTGATAATTGTAAATATGATGAACCGAGTTGGATTCCATTCAATAAAATTGTGAAACACTGTCAAAATTTATTATAATGACAACCAACTTTTTTGCTGGACATTGTTCCTCTATTTTTTTTTTTTTTTTTTTTGATATTACGGATATCTTAAGTGGTCAGTTACTGGAACTGTGGTCAAAATTTTTTTCTTTTCTTTAAAAGATTTTTTTTCTAAAAATCTCATCGAGACGAATAGTAAGACGATGAGAGATAAATGAGTGTTCGAATTTGAGTGCCCTTATTGTAATAATACGAATATTCTTGTGATACACTCTAGACGAATGCAAAAACATTGTAATAAAGGAATGAAAAATAATTATTTTATTTCGATAAATAATACCTTTTCTTTGTTAGTGGAAGTTTTTTTAATATTTGCCAGGGATCAATCAGATAATCATGAAATGTGTAATCTCAAGATCGAGATTGTTGTCGAACGATTTCTTTTCAATATTAATTAATAATACTTTCAAACTGATTGGAAACAAACGTTGAAATAAATTTCATTTTTCTGAAAAATTCTAAACTTTAATAAATTTAAAGTTATCATACTGGAAATTTTACCGATCACAGATACATAATCTCTTTGGATATTATTGACTTACTCGATATAGTTCAAAGTAGAGAAGGTCTGTACAATTAATAATTAATTTTCCTTAATGAACTATTTAATCAGTAATTGCATGATTTACTACTCTCCATTAATAACATGTGCACATTATTTACTTATTTTATATATTTATTAAAAACGATTGTTCTACATGAACAATCATATATGAACAAAAATATATCTGCATTACGTGACATCGATGAAACAGCATTTCAGCTTATCGATCATTGGTGAATGTACGTTTGTACAAAAATATGAATATTAACTTGAATTAAAATCTTCGTGATATATCTGTCAATTACATACGTCTTACGAAATATAAATATATATATATATAATATATATATATATATATATGTCAGACCGAGAAGATATTTAAGTATTTAATATTTTAATATTTAATAATGGTTGCTATAAAATAGAGGCATCCAATCTGAAATTTTGAATTAACTCTAAATCCAATCGCTTCCTTGTCCCATACGTTTGATAATATCTCTCCATTTCTGTCTGTTCGAACGGGCTATGTATATATATCTTATTTTTTTCTTAAAGTATTTTGTCGGTATGAATATCGATATACATCGACGTTAATCATTACATTATATAACTTGTAAAGACGGGATTATTTGAACGTGATATATTAGTTAACTCGTCTAGTTTCATCATATAATAAAACTCCATATGTCAACTAAATATTCTGATTTGAGAAAGAGAGAAAGAAAGAGAGAGAGAGAGAGAGAGAGAGAGAGAGAGAGAAAGAAAGAGAGAGAGAAAGAGAGAGAGATAAATTTTGAGCGCATTGCATTTTTTTTTCTCTCACACTTTCATATTCTAAAAGACTTTTAATAGAACGATTCGAAAATTGGTACGGCATGATCGAGATAAGATTCTACTTTCGTAACGGCCAATTCGATTTGAATCTTAATCCTTAAATAGTAACTGCGCAATTTTTAAATTCGAACAATATCAATTACAAATTCGAAGTTAAAAGATAATAGAACAATGTATGATACGTATGGTTACGACGCAACATTTATTTGTTTATTTCTACCTACATGCACACGTACACATTTATTAAAGAATTATATAACAAATATATCTATCTATAGACATCTATCTATAAAGAAATGGATAATTATGTACGTTTATTTCATCGATAATACGTTTATCTCATCGATAATATGTCTATCTTATCGATTTCGATGATTTTTGAATATGTTCTTAGGTTCATGATTTTAAACAACTTTTTCTCGATAAATATAATCGTACAAATCGATCTTAGTTTACGAGATATCCATGAAAGTATATATTTTTTTTATTTTGATCAGATGCAATTTAGATCCAATCAATATCTAAATCTAAACGGTAACTCAAACTTAAAATCACGATTAAACAAGCATCGATTTAATTTCAATTAGTTTATGTTAAGTTCGAGATTGATTAAAATTGATTTGGATTTCGGAACTTTAAGTAAAAATTAAACTAAATCAATAATTTTTCAATAATGATAGATCATTATTTTTTTTTTTTTACATTTTTGACTATCTGAAGATAGACTAAGTTGTGTTTTTTTTTCATCTCTTTCTGTTAACAAATTAAGAAACATATAATATAATATAGTCATGTCCGTTGAATTCAAATGCAATTTAGTAAAATATCGCAAAAATTTAAACGGCGCATATCGAACGCATATCAAAGTTAAAACGTTCAAAAATTATCTTCATAAATGTCTCATGAACTAAGATCTATATATACGTTTATATATTTATACAAAGAAAAATAGTTACTTAAAATATTGATTTCAACGACTCTCTATATAATTAATAAAAAATATAAACGATTCTTAATTATTTTGAGGATAGAAAAATCCATTGTTAGGTGGCGATTGGGAAAGTGAGAAAAAGAAAAAGAGGACAGAATAAGAAGAGGAAGAAGAAGAAATAGAAAGAAGAAAAAAATAAAGAATAAGAAAAAAGAAAACAAAAAGAAACAAAGAAGAAAAAGAACAAAAAGGAAAGAGATAATAGACGATTGGATAAAAGCAAACAACTTTTGGGAACCATACCTATTTGGTGAATTATCTCGAGTCAAATCGAATCGTTGCTTCGAGGATTACGTTAACGATCCGAAAAATGCAGATCGTAGAGAAAGGCTCGGTATGCGCGAAAGGGCGATTTGGTATGGTTGAGAGAGAAAAAGAGAGAGAGAGAGAGAGAGAGAGAGAGAGAGAGATTAAAGCGGGTGAGGTGGGGTTTTAAGGAGGGGTAAGGGGTATTAGCGAAAACGACAAAGGTATTTGCTATAGGTGTGTCCAGCATATATCGTGCGTGTTGGGTAATGCGTAAGGTGCTGAAGAGGAGAAGAGATGGAGGAGGAGGAGTAGAAGGATGATGATAATAGTGTGTGCGTGGTTGGGCACACACGAACGCGTTTCGCGATATCTCACGATTCGATCTCCACGACGGGCTCTTCGGCCGCCCGTATATTTACATGTATAATTTATATATCCCGCAGCTCGAAAAAGCGCGCGCGCGCACATGTCGCAGGACGAGAAGGAGGAGGAGACGGATGGCCGAGGGAGAGCCGGAGAGAAGGGCGGTTACAGGGCCGTCCTCGGTTACGACCATTCGTCGACGTTTCGCCGACATTTACTCGGCTATTATTATTAACGTTTTAAAGTTTCGCGCACGTAAATCCGAGAAAATTTTGTCGAATTCTCGTCGTCTTAAGGATTATTTTACGATTCCCACGATCGATAGATCGATCTCTCCAGATCCTTCTTCCCATCCCGTATACCCTTTCTCCAATACCGTTGAAATTGTCCCTTCGAGAATAACGAAATGAAACGTATAGCACAAATCGTTTGCGATTGATTTTGTGCTAAGATAATTTGTTGTTTATTTTTGTGCTATTCATTTGATTGGAAAATTATCCGAAAGTAAATGGTAAAATAAAAGTCGGTGCGATGGTATTCCATGCGAATTTAACTGAATGCACACGTGTGCCCGAACGCGGAAGGTATTCCCTGTCTTTGTCTCTTTCTTTTTCTTTTCTCTCTCTCTCTCTCTCTCTCTCTTTTTCTCTTTCTCTTTCTCTTTCACTGTTAGGTGGACCTTAATTAAACACGGTCGCAAGCGAATTCCATAATACGTTCTCATTTGTGTGTAACACGTCCATGATAACGCTTAAAGTTACTGCCACCGTTAAGATGGCGCGGCCTTCGGGGTGCGACTTCGTTGAATTTTTGTTCTTTTTATTTCTTTTTTCGCAAAATAATGCGACGGGGCACTGACTTTCTGTCTCTCTCTCTCTCTCTCTCTCTCTCTCACACCCTTCTCCTCTTCTTCCCACTATTACTACTACTACTATTATTACTACTATTACTATTACTACTACTACCACTACTACTACAATTACAACTTCTCTTTTTCTACCCGCACGCCCGCCATTGTAACCGCAAGGGCGCAATTAATTATTGCGTGCCCTCAAGGTACCGCATTGTTGCATCCTCTTGTATTAGTGTATCTCTTCTCTCTCGCACATGTGTATGTGTTTTTGATATACATGTGAGAAACTCCTTTTGACTTTTAACGCACGACCCGTTCACAGGTACGTGCCGAGATATTCTAGGGACCCTTCGAAATATAATTATTCACAAATACATAAAAATACATTTTCATTCGTTTATATCGTTAATATTACATTTAATACCATTTCAAGTTGTTCGTTGTATTATACGCGAATAATATCATATCGATGAATTGATAACGATACAACGAATACGACGATATACAATATAAATAATATTACAATAGAATTTCATCGAAAAATTATAATTTTGTTAATGCTAATATTATTGCGAAATATCATTCGTACCTATCTACGTTAAAATGATATCACGTTAATTCGATACGATTTAATAAGAAATATCGAGTGAAAATTTTTATGGCAATAAAAGCATCCTATAAGCTACGAGAAATAAATTATAATTACGAAACATATTTCCTCTCGTAAATCGATGTTCTCGTTACCACTAATAACAATAATGAACGTGTATAGTATCCAGTATATCTGGTAACAAATTTTCTATTTCTCTTTCTTTCTCTCTCCCTCACTCTCGTATCTACTGCAAAGAGTAGAAAAATTCTACCTCTTTCTTTTTCTTTTTTATTCTCGGGGCAATGTATATCGGTTGAAAAGAAAGAGACAGAAAACGAGGCAAATCGACAATTTCTTCTTGCGGTAACAGCATCGCGTGTCGAACAAAAACAATCGGGTCTACCGGAGCGCGTAATTAACGTGAACGGAAATGAGTTGAGAGGGGTGAGAGAAAGAGAAAGAGGAAGAGAAAGAGAGAAAGAGAGAGAGAGAGAAAGAGAGTGAGAGAGAGGGAGAGAGAAAGTGAGAGAGGAGGGCAGGAAGAGCGACGATTAAATGACTCTTCGACGTATCCGCCGCGGTGGAATTAATTAGTCCACTAGTCGATCGAACGAGTTGAAGACAAACGATCGAATCGTTATCGCATGTTTCTAAAAGGTAGCTTGATTTAAAGATCGATGAACTAATCGGTTAGTATGATCTTATAGGTATATTATACCTTAATTTAAACGGTCGATATCGTCGTTCGTTTATCTCTATGTGATCGCGTTGACGAACGAAAAGTAAATAATCGTTCTTTCTCTCTCTCTCTCTCTCTCTCTCTCCTCCCTCTCTTTCTCCTCCTTCTCTCCCACTCTCTCTGTTTCTCCCTTTCTTGTTTTCTTTTTATCTTTCTTCGTGACGAAGTAACCTCAAAGAAAGTATCATGCTAATGTTAAACTCGCCCGCGAAGAAGTTATTTGCACTTTCGTGGAAGTATGCAATTTCGCAATTTGATGACGTAATTCGACAAAGTGTATCTATGTATATGTATATATGTATGCACGTACATACCTACATATGTATGCATGTATTTGTATATACGTAGGATATATGTATAGACGTACAAGCGAAAACGAGACCATTTGCATACAGATAAAGAGCTGACACGAAGGTATATATATATATATATATATATATATACATAGTTGTATTATATAGATAGATAGGTATACGTACATATGTATGTATGCGCGGATACGTGTTGAGAAGGGAGCCTGCGTGTGTCGGCGGCGGCCCGTTTAAACGCAAAAGCGATGCGGACGTAGCTCAAGGGCATTCACTGGAAGCTTCTCCGAACGTCAAATTACGAAATACCTGTTCTTGGCAACGACGACTTCATTCCGTTCGTTTTGTGTACCCCATCCTCCGTATTGTTCGAGTTTTGAAATTCTCGCTTTTACGTAATTTTTTTCTTTTTCTTCGTCATCGGTTTTCCTTTTTTTTTTTCTTGTTTTCTTTTTTTTCTTTCATTTTTGTTTTAATTCACATTTCATTTTCGCCCGAGTTTCTTTTTTCCGATTTTAAGATTTTTATACGATTTTCTTTTCAAAATTTTGCTAAAATTGTAAACGTGACGTTTGATTATAAATAGTATCATTCGAAATATTTTCGAACGTTATTTGAATAATTCGTTATATTTAAATAGACTGACGTGAAAGATTTGAAATTATTGGGAAGAGCTAACACTCTCGGGAAAAAAAAGAAAAAAAAAAAAAGAAATATTTTTTTCCTTCGTTCCTCCGTAAAAAATGTCGTACTGTTTTTTTTTTCCCAGTCTTATCCGAATTGTTTTCGAATCATCGAACACCGCGCGACCGCATGGCTATCAAATAAATAACTTTATCTTTTTCTTTAATCTTCTCCTAGACCGCATAAGTGGGAAACACACGAACCGCGTCAAATCGATCAGTGATGCGATCTCGAAACGATAGGCCAAGACATAGAACTTTATTGTTCTTAATGCGATATAAAATACGATTAGAATCAAAAGTGAACATTGCGGAGGTAATCAATTATAACCAGAACCGATTTTTCACCCCACCCCCCTCACTCTCTTTCTTTTTTTTCTATCCTAAGCGATGCGCTTCGCAAAAGTCCATATCTCTTTTCTTTGATGGAAAAAAAATATATCCAACTTCATATTACAAGTCGAAAAGACGTTGATGATTGTTCGGAATACAAAAATATATCATGTCGTAAATAGAAAGGATTTTCACGTTTCGCGATCACTTGTGCGAAGATTAATTTCATTTAAAACAAAATCACTAGAAAGTAAGAGTAACTATATGCTATGATATTATAATACAATATAATCCATGAAAACACTTTGTAATTTTCGAAGAATCTTCTTTGCCATCCTTTTTTCTTTTTTCTTTTTTTAAATATAATCCGAGGGCACCGTACTCTCGTTTATCGCCGCCAATCTATACTGCGGCGTTTCCAAGTTTTGCGGATTAAGATGGAGATTCGTTTGAGTCGTTGTAGGTGCGGATGACGATACAGTCGACGGCATCTGTTGATTTGTTGAATTCGAGCTTAAATCACTGTAATAGGCGCTACTCGGGGCGCTACTCAATGTTGGCCCATCCGGTTCGGCATCACTTCCGGTATATGCCGTATTTTGGTACGACGGACGTTCGCCATTTCTATTGGCCATTCTTAAGTCTTGATGATGGTGATGGTGATTGTTGTGATGGTGGTGATGGTGATGATGATGTTGTAACTGATTCGGTGGTACCGGTGTTGATGGTCCATTTTCATACATCTCGTAATCGGGTTCTTGTAGCCTATTAAACATTTTTATTTAAATTAAATTTGTTTTTGTTTTCAATATAGTCATTAGATTGATTTAATTAATCAATTAGTGCTGTAATAAGTCAAGAATTTATTTATAATACTTTATTATTTATATATGAATCAATTTATTAAACATATTTCGTGTCACATGTATAGTTTTTTGTACACTATGAATCTTATTTTTAAAACAAATAAGATTTTTTTGACAGATAAAATATTAAAAAACAATTGTTGGTATAAATATTATATGTATTATGATGATATTTGCAAATCTGACACTAATAATTTATACGGTATTGTTATAAATTCAGTTAGTCACTTGGTGCTGTTTTATTTAATTACGCTCACACGTATTTATACTTTGCATTTGGCTGATTAGTTATTTGTGTCATCGTGAAAAGAAAGAAAACAGAAATTACAGAAAGATCAATCGAAAGTATAAAAAAAATATTTATTAGGAAAAAGCTAGACAAAAAAATTGAATATATATATATATATATCTCAACGATTGTTGCACAAGCGTAAATTTGGTATCAAAATTAATTACCAAAATATACGTATTTTTAGTGAAAAGAGTTTGATCAAATTGTCGAGGATTTAAAAGAGAAGTGACTGAAAAAATATTAAAATGGGGAGAATAAAAAAAAATTAACTTTTTGTTTATTTTTAAATATTGTTTTTTTTAATATGAAATAAACTTATTTGTTTGTTATATTGTGGATTTTATAATTCCAATATTTACTCTACTAATAAATAAATTATTTTGTTTTTCTCCTGAAAATTCCAAACTTTATAATCTTTATTGTTTTTGATAAACATGGCTTGATAATGATATCGAAAAATAGGTTAACAAAAAACGAGTTAAATTCCTAGTTTTCTTTTTTTTATAATAAAAAAACATTAGGTGGTTAGAATTTTTATCAAAATTCCTAATTTCTTCATTTTGGATATTTACTGACATTAATTGATTTACTAAAGTTATATAATAAAATATATATATATATATATATATATATATATATATATATTCAAACGTACATTGTAGAATGTATTATTATAGATGTAACGTTTATCTTACAACAAATAATGCACAATTAATTTAATTTAATTTAATTTAATTTAATTTAATTTAATTTAATAAGACATTGACATTTGAATTAAATTATTTACAATTCAAGTTGAACATAAAGTTTTATCGTTTATCACCTTTGAACATAATTATCAAGGAAAATTTTTTCTTTTTATTTTAAATATAAAAAGTTAATTATCGATCGATTGCCTTGGTAATAAAATTAAAAAAGCAAAAAAAAAATAAAAATAAAAAAATAAAAACAAAAAAATTTGTGTAAACGAAGGCACAATCACTTTAGCCTATCAAAGATTCATTCGATAAATAGTTTTGAATAAATTCAAATAAGGAAATACGATTACCTTTTGCTATGTCGCGTTCTAAGGGTCTCCCTTTGCAAAGTTTCATCTCCGCTTCCAGTTCCATAATGGCGATGCAATCTCGTCGCGTCGAGTTCGTGATACTCGTCGTCTTGACCGGCGGAAGTTGTGCCGTACGTCGAACTTCCTCTCATTTGCAACTGAAGATCGCTCGCGTAGCTCGCCGCCTGAGAGTCAAGTTCGGCGTATAGTGCCTCGTCCGTTTGCATATGGGTATAATGATTCTCAACCGGTAAGTTCATTGCTCTCCTATGTTGAGGAAGAGACAAGGGCGTGGTGACGACACCCGTTGTACCACCACCTCGTCTTGAACCAAGCCATGACCAGACATTGTGTCCTGACAACAAATTATTACATCTCGTTAGAAAAAAAAAGGAAAAACAAAAAACAATCAACAGATATGAACATTCTTTATTAGAGGGGAAATGTTTTTTTCGTCAATTTTTTAGAAAAAATTTTTTATGATATTATATTTTAAGAAAATTTCATAGGAATATTTCGAAAATTGACGATGTTATTGCCTAAGATAGACTCTAGCAAGTTCAATGTTATACGTACAGTAAGGGTAGAAAGTATTCGTATACTGATCAATTTCAATAAATAATATTTCGTAAAATTGCAGTTTAATAACTAATTTTTTTTTATAAACAATCAATTGGTACATATTTTTGCACATCCTTAGAGTGGATATGGTTAAAAAAGAAAAAAAAAAAGAAAAAAATTAATTTTTTAAAAATTGTTTGTGTTACTTACAAAATTAGCAAGATAAAAAAAAATAAATCAACAGAAATATGAAAATAATAATTATTCGTACAATTGTTGAATTTTCAAAAATTCATTGAAAAAAATGTAACTTAAATCTGACGATAAAAAATTAGAGTAACTGGTTAATTAAATACTTCATAGGATTTCCATTTGATTTTAATATTGTAGGAACTCTTCTAAGTAACGAATTAATTTAAATTAAATTAAATTCAATGTAACACTTAATGGGATTTTATTCCATTTCTCCATCATAACATTTTTTAGATATTTTTTAGAAGAAATTTTGTATTTTCTAATTTTACGTTCTGAGTAATCCCATAATGTTCTATCAAATTGAGATCTGGAGACTGGGGAGGAGTTTTTATATTATGTTAGTGATGTGTTATGTAATATTCGCATTATCGTATTATACGCAGTATATTTTGGATCGTTGTCTTGCATAAAAATAAAATTATCCTTTGTGCTCATTTTTTTCTGCACTAAAAATGAGAATGTGTTTTAAATTGTCAATGTAAATCCTGTGATTCATTACTTCATTAATAAATTTTAATGTGCTAACACCAGTATTTTTTTATTTCTGGTTTTTTTTCTTTTTTATTTTTTTGATAATATACAGGAGATACTATACTACTCTATTTGATTTGACATCGATAACTTCAAGAATATAATGAATTGTTTCAATTATTTTATTGGAAAATATTCTACGAAATACATATTAACGATAATGATGAATTTTTATCAATAAAATAAATTATAGAAAAAATGCGTGCAAAAAAGAATCATAAAAGATTATCTTTTTTGGACCATTTAGGTGTATATTCTCTCTTAAACACACATATGAGTCAATTTTTTCTTTTTTTTTTATTATTTTCTAATTAATTGCATAATCGCTATTATTATTTACGATCTTTCGTACTATTTTTTATAAATTTTCTATTTCTCACTTATAAAAATATATTGGTTTATAAAACTGATGAATTTGAACGTCACGGACATTTTTAGAATTATTTATTTTTGAAAATATCTTTTTATAGATATAAACAAACGATAATCCGATGTTGCGAGTATCGAATTAATATAATCTGTACAGTAAAACTATTCACTTCAAGCTATTTTATTTTTCTTAGGTTGTTTTTCTTACAAGGCATGTGGTGCTATCACATTACCGTTTCTTCACTGATTCCTTGTAATATAACCATTCTGTAATATTTCTTGACAATGAACGTCAACGATAATTATTTCAACCGGTTTTAATAATACAAAATAAATTATGCCAATACAGTCCTACCAAACGCATAATACAGACACGGTTTAAATGTGAATACAGATTTTTTTTTTGTTCCAAATTCAATATCTTGCAAATTAAAATTAACTTTTTGCAAATCAAGTTTCTTTTTTTTGTTTATAGAATTGTTTTCTTAAGTTTTTTTTAATTAAAATAAAATCAAATATTAATTTATTGTTAAGAAATTCCAAATTTTATTGTATCTGATACAAAGATGTATTGAAGATAATTAATTAATAGTAATCATTAATTCATTATGTACGGAATTCATTATTTATATAAATGTTTTATGTAATAAAATAAAATTAAGGATATTTTATTTTTTACTAAATGAATAATATTTAAACACGTTTCTGTTATATCGATATTTATCTGGAATTCTTACTATTTACGGGAAAGAATAATTTTCTTTAAATGTGTGATTTGAGATTAGAACAAAATATAAACTCATATAAATTTTCATTAGATTTTTTATTGTTGGCCGAATAAATTTAATAAGCAGTGATTTGAAATTTTACTTTCGACTGCATATTTTTAAATATCTTTTCGTTACTTTTTATTTCAGAAATTAAAAGACGATAATTTGATGAATTTTGTAGAAAAATTTGATTTGCAAAACAATGAAATTTGATTTGCAAACAGATGAATTTGATTGTGAATTCCAAAAGGGTAAATTTGATTTGCAAAAGGATGAATTTGATTTAAAAAAGGGTGAATTTGATTTGCAAATCAAATTTATTTTTTTAATCAAAAGATTAAATTTGAAATGCGACATCTGTATAGTTGATTGGTTCGGAAAAAAACATTGATTGGAATGTTTCAAGTTATCCATTTTTCATTACAGGTGACAATTTTGTTAGGAAATGAATGACTTCATTGACTAGTTAATAACAATGTATAAATTATTCGTCACTGATCTTTGTCTGTATTCAATTAATGCAAAACCCAAATAATTTGCCTAGATACTTTTCTGATTTCATATAAGTATGTTTGCATTATCGAGCAAGGGATCTAAATATATTAACTATTTTTTGGATTATTAATTTTGAATCTGATCCTCAACCAATAATTTTAAAATATCAATATAGCAGACTAATTATTCGTCAAATAAGATAAAATAAGTCATGAGATAAGTCAAAATCATTCCTGACAAATTCGGTGAACCAATTTGACGGAAATGGGCTCATATTAAACCTTAAATCTTCATAGATATCACAAATGTTTATTATTGCGTTAAAACTCGATCGAAAATAAAATAACATTCAATGACGTATATGTACTTCTGAAGATTGATAGTCCGTTATTTTGTTTTGGGATAAAAAGAAATTTTTTATTTTTTTGTTTAAAACAATAAATTCATAATCTGTTTTACAATTGAAAAGAACAAAACGTGTTTTCAGATATTAGAAAAGTTGAACTTTAAAGTTAATTTATTTATTTAAAAAGATCGAGGACTTATGAATAACCTTAATATAATTTAAGGGTTTTAAAGTAAAGTTCACAATATTGAAGTAAATAGAGTGATGAATTTGAAGATATCCCAAAATATTTTCTGCTAATAGCAAGTCGTTTTGTTTAAAAATCAATTTCAATTTTGAAATTTGTTAAAAATTTTTAATTTTGTTTAAAAATCAATTTTATTTTTTAATCGAATTGCCTTTTATTTTAATTTTTATCGGCATCGATGAACAGACGCAATATTTTTTTTATTGTTGTCAGAAAATTCTACTCGTATATTAAATTCGATCGCTAATCTCTCTGCATCACAATTAAACGTTAATATATTTATATTAAAATAGAAATCACTTTGTAAGTTCAATGTAATAAATATTTAATTTTTATTTAATAAAAAAATTATTGAAAGAAGAATTTATTAATTTTTGCTAAAAAAAATATATGTTTTTATCTTATTTTTAATAAAAAAATTACTAAAAGGAAAAATTTCTTGACTTTTTGATATTTTGTGAAATTTTATATATATATATATATATATATATATATATAAATATTTAAATTAAATATAATAATATAATAAAATATAAAAATTTAAACAAAGTAATTATTCTTCTAATAAATAAATAATTTAAGATATGTCACATATTATATTACATAATCCAATATTAAGTAAGAATTTAAATAAAGTAAAAATAATTATTATCATAATAAATAAATAATTTTAGATATGTCATATATTATAATATATAAATAAATTTTTATAATTATTCTTATTATAACTAATAATGTGATTGGGTATTTACTTTATAAATTATAACTGATAAATAATTAATATTTATTTAAAATTAAGATTTTAGAATATTTAATTATTTTATAATCTAATTTAATTAATATCAAATGTATTATAAAGTAAGAAAAATTATTTTAAAAAAGATACTTATTAAATTTAAAAAAAAAATATTTATAGATAAGAATTTAATAATAACATAAATATGAAGTACAAATAGTTAATTAATGTATATATTTAAATTATAAAATATATTTATTAATAGATTGTGATCAAATTGTTTGAAATTTTACATAAAATATCTTTACGTATTATAAAAGTCTTGTGTAAAATTTTGATCGAGCCATTTCGTTAATTTTTAACTTTAAAAATAATTGCAATAAAATGGACGCCATATTGAAAATAATTATTTAAAAAAATTGTGAGAAGTTAAAGAAGAAACATTTCCATATCTTATAAAAATTTTTTTTTTTTTAACAAACGATGTCATTTAGAAAATTATTAAGCTATCAGTATGAAATTTTCGAATTAGTATACAAACTAAATGCGTGTAAAACCGTTTAAATTAGCAAATTCGTAACTATAGTTAATAAAAGCTTAGGCAATAAACTTAAACACATTAGGCTTAAATACATACATTTAAAAAAATACATCAAATACAATTGAAAAATTTTATTTCGATTAAAATTTCTAACGAGGCAATATTTTCTTTTTTTGCACATTGGTGATTTTGCATGAAGCATTCCCAACAGTTTTGTCTAAAAAAATATCCTTACGGTGTTGTCGAGAAAGCAATAGTCTCATTAGAAAAATTGTTGCTTTTTATGCAAGAAGAAATCGAAGAAACATTGAAGCCATATTTAATCGGCAACATGGATGCAATGGCAAGTATTCAAGTTTACAACTGAAAGAGATCCAAGATCGATCTTACTTGTGTATATGTGGAAATTTTCTATTATTTATTTATTTATTTATTTATTCATTGTTTACTAGGTTTTATTTATATTTTATTTTCTTCTTTTTTTTTTACATTCGGGATATTTTTCTTACACGATTAATTGTAAAGCAACATTTTAGTTTATTTTTAATCACATCTTTGAATTCCATAAGAGCATCCTCGTTAATTCCATTAAAAGCCAGTTCACTTTTTAATCTTTTATGTTAGAATATAATTTTGTTAATGTAATTTTTATCTAATTAAAAATACAATTATCTATACAAAAATACAAGTATCAACACAACAAGATCATAGTATATGCGCCATCGTAAACAAATTTCCGTGTATTTCCTTATTAATTTTCTATAAAAAATACTGAATGATCGGTTACGTAAAAGCGGTTTGTTACATGTAAGAAATATTTAAAAGTATCCTAACTCGTCATTTTCCATCATATTTTCAAGGTTATTTAAAAATTCAAGAATTATATCCCACATGAGATTTCCTTTGTTAGAGAGGCAAACGATCAATTTGTTTTGGGATTGAAGTGATAGGGAAAGACTCACCGGGACTAGGAGCAATGTCCTGATAAGGGGGTAGCTTGTCAAGTTCTAGAGAAGCTCGATCCGGTATAACGGCTATCCCACCACCATTCCCACCCCCTCCACCATTTGAGCCAGCTTCCTGAGAGTTAGGATCTTCTACACCAACACCGCAACAGTTCGCTGAAACAAGAATCTTAAAATTAACAGCGTGATCTCTTTCATCATTCTCTTCATTCTACAGGAAAATCCGTTGGTGCGTACATAGGTGTCTATTCGCCGAAGTTCTTCTCAAATTTCGTTCACCTTTCCAAGATTCACCGCGTTAGGTTAGTAACAGAGAGAAAGAGAGAAAGAGGAGAGAGAGTTTTTAAGATTTCTTCTCTAGAGGATGGAAACGAATAAGCAGGACGAAACACGTCAAATGCCAGGTGAGCTGATACGTTATAAGCGCTCATGCGCAAACCATCTATATATTATATATATATATGTATGTGTGTGTGTGTGTGTATTTTGTATGGATACCTACAAGCGATGTCTATAGTTCATATATACAAATATGTATGTACATGGATATATATATATATATATATATAAAACGCTCCCGAATTCGTGCATTATGACGAATATAAGCAAGAGTATGAAATAAAAAAAGCAGCTGTTTTCTCTACTGTTTGTATTGTGCTCCTGTCATCGTGCCGTCATGGGGTTTTATATAGAATCCTACCGTTGATCGGAGAGGGAAGGAGAGAAAGAAGTGGGGATGTTGTTCGAAGTACACGAAGAAAGAGGATGGAAATGAGAAGGTTGTGTAAGAGAGAGAGGGAGAGAGAGAGAGTGGAATTGTTGGAGAGGGAAAGAGAAGGGCGAGTAGGGAAAAAGAAGAGACTGCGTCCTGGAATTCATAGATCAGAAGTGCCGCCTTATGGTAAAGTAGACGCAAGAATATGCCGTGGTAAAAGGGGGGAAAAAAAAGGACGATTGAAATTATAGAATCTTCTGGGAGTACTTCGCTTCTCTTTGCTTTTACCTCATTTTTTTTTCAATCCACTTATATATATATATATATATATATATATATATATATGTATGTATGTATATATGTGTTTGTATTGTATCCAGACAAAGCTTTTTAGTAAGTTTACATGTTTTGAAAATTGACGTCTCATGATATCGACAACATAACTTCGATTTTATTCGTTCAATTATTAGAAAATATTTCATAATTAGTGCAGCGCTGATTGTAACTGGTGAAGCACTAATGTATTTATAATAGCTGATGTATGCATATTTTATATAGATGAAAATCTTTGAGAATTGAAATATTTGAAGAATTGGTGTCTTTCGTTGTGTCTCGATGACGTCACCTTAATTTGTTTCGTTCAAACGTTCGAAAGTATTTTGTATAATTAGTATAATTTAATTTCACTATTAAATACAGTCGCATTTCATTTGTAAATAGCACTAATGTTATAAGTTTATACGTATTTTATATGGATGATATTTTATAGATTCGCTACGTTTTATGAATTTATGTTTCGTATAATTTTGATAACGTCATTTTAATTCGATTCATCAGAGTATTCGAAAATCTTTACTTATTAGTCTAACATTAAATAGCACTAATGTAGCTATTATGTATGTATTTGATATGATTGAAATTGTTGTGACTTTAAATATTTTAAAAATTTGAGTCTTACATTGTTTCGTTGTAACGTTGTCTTCAGTTAGATTCGTTGGAGAATTCGAAAATATTTTATAATTAGCATTAATGTAAGGTTGTTCGGAAAGTAATTTCGTTTTTCTTTTTTGTAAAAATGAAAGACAATTTTCGTATAATGAACAAATATTTTATTAAATTATATATTGGCCATTCTGGTCCAATACTTTTTGCCATCTTTCTGGTAGTAGCATGATTCCACGCTCATAAAATTTTTGGTCTTTGCTGGCAAAAAACTGATCGACGTGGTTTTTGATCTCCTCATTTGAAGTGAAGGTTTTACCATCTTAAAAATTTTGCAATGACCGGAACAAATAATAACCCGAAGGTGCCAGATCTGGAGAATATGATGGGTGTGGCATTGTATCCCATTCAAGCTGTAAAAGCTTTTGGCGAGAGACCAAACTTGTATTAGGTCTCGCATTATCTTGTTGGAACACAACAACTTTTCTGTTGATTAATTCTGGCCTTTTCTGTTGAAGTGCATCATTCAATTTGTCCAGCTGATGACAGTAGACTTCCGAATTAATTATTGTGCTATCCGGTAAAATCTCAAAAAAAAAGATTCCTTTAAAATCCCACCAAACAGATAGCATCACCTTTTTTTATGGATATTGGCTTTGGAAATGCTTTGAGCCGGTTTATCTTTTTTGCTCCATGATCTCTTGCGTTTGACATTGTTATATACAACCCATTTTTCATTCCCAGTAATGATGGGCTTTAAAAATGGATCATTTTCGTGACGTTTGAGAAGCGAATCATAGACGTTAACGCAACGACATAAATTTCTCTCCGTGAGAACATGGGGAACCCATATATCGAGCTTCAAGGTTAAACCCAGGCCTTTCGAGTGGTCATAAACAGTTGAGTTTGATAAATTTAACCTCTCACCGATCTCACGTGTTGTTATTTGCCAGTTTGCATCAACTAATGCCTTTATCGTGTCTTTATTAGCTTCAACCGGCCTTCCAGAACGTGATGCATCTTCGACATCAAAATTACCGGATCGAAATTTTGCAAACCAGTTCTGGCACTGGCGTACTGTCAACACATCTTCCCCATACACATCGGTTAATTTCTTTCTGGGTTGAACAGCATTTTTACCTTTTCTATAGTAAAAAAGTAAAATATGACGAAATATGACGCTGCTTATTGCTCTCCATATTTAAAAGGGTACCAACCAAGAACTACTGCGTAGAATCAATTGGACCTTTTCACACACAAGCCTTGCTATATCAGTTCTCAAAACATATAATGATTATGCGGCTTAAGTGTGAAGTTGGGTGCAAAAAATTACAATTAAATCTTCTGTCGAGAAAAAACGAAATTACTTTCCGAACAACTCCAATAATTACTATGTAATGTATCGTATCTTAATGGAGCTTTCGAGTTTTCAAATATTTAAAAAATTTTCGCCTAATCGTATCGATAACGTTTTCACGATTTGATCCTTTGATATAAATCTCTAAATTGCACTGATATAATATTAAATTGTATTGATGCAACTAATAAGTACGTATTTTAGTGTATATCAATGAAATTTATGAGATTTATCATGTTTTGTGAATTTATCTCTTCAATAATTTTGATAAAGTCACCTTAGTTCGATTCATCGAAGTATTTAAAAATATTTTGTAATTAATATAGCATTAAATAGCACTAATGTAATAATAATAATAATAATATATATATATATATATATATATATATATATATATTGTATATTGATCAATTGAGATTTTGAACATTTCGAAAATTGTCGCCTAATAGCATCGATAACGTTTCCTCGATTTGATTCTTTAAAACACTCAATAATATAACTATGATTAGCGTATCTTCAAATTGTACTGATGTAATATTAAACGAAATTAACACAAACAGTGAATATATATTTTACTGTATATGCATGAGATACTCGCCACGTTTTGATAATTGATTCTTATGATTAATATTGTTTTGATAGGGTCACATTATTGTTAGTTTTATTTGTTATAGAATAATATTTCATAATTATTCCAATGCCAATGTAACGCTTTTCGCAATATCTGGAAAATCGATATCGACATTTATCTATTTTTATGAATTAAAAATCTACTAATTATGTCGTACGAATATCGGAATAAGCGCGATATTGTAGCCACAAATAGGCTGAGTAAATAAAAAAAGACAATTACGTAGGACAGCAGTAATGAAAAAACAGTAAAATGAAAGGATGCGAGAGAACAAGGTTGCAGAGTTTATACGATCCGATTAATACGCGCTAATTACGCGTGAAAATTCCATTCGGGCGGCTCGATTTGCCGTGCACATCATTTATACCAAGAACCTGAGAAAGCTTTAATCGCGTAATTTATCGCGAGCAAGTCTCGCGCGCCTTCTTTACACTCCCTCCTCCTCTTCCCCACCCTCGTTCACTCCCGACCCGCCAATCACCCTATGTCCTTCTCTTCACTCTCCTTACTTCCTCTTTCACCCAAGCATCGATATATTCCAAACTTCGAACAATTTTTTCAATTTGTCTCGATCGTTAATCTCACACAATAAAAATCATTTTTATAAACTATTACTATTATAAGTGTCATCGAAAAGCATCCCAATAGTCAAGCAGTAATAGTCAAGATCATGATATGATCTTGGATATATTATAATAAAAATGTTTCATTCTGTCTGAAGGTTTCGCACGAATCATAACATTTTCTAATCATATTTATATGTAATTTGTTTGCCTATGTATATATATATATATATATATATATATATATATATATATAAAATGTTATATTATATATTATAATTAATTAATAAATATATTTTATAATTTAAATATATACATTAACTAATTATTTATACATTATATTATGTTATAATTAAATTTTTATTTTTAAATATTTTTTTTTTTTAAATTTAAAAAATATTCTTTATTTCAATAATCTTCTTACTTTTTAAATTCCACTTAATATTTAATTAAACATAAAATTCTAAAATAATTAAATATCTTAAAATTTTAATTTTAAATAAATATTAATTATTTATCAATTATAATTTATAAGGTAACTACCCAATCACATTCCTAATTATAATAAGAATACTTATAAAAAATTTATTTATATAGTATAATATATGACATATCTAAAATTATTTATTTATTATGATAATAATTTTTTTTACTTTATTTAAATTCATAACTAATATTCGATTATGTAATATAATATATGACATATTTTAAATTATTTATTTATTAGGAGAGTAATTACTTTGTTTAAATACTTATATTTTATTATATCATTATATTTAAATTAAATATATATATATATATATATTTAATAATTTCATAAAATATCAAAAAATCGATAAATTTTTCCTTTTAGTAATTTTTTTATTAAAAATAAGCTAAAAACATATATTTTTTCATAAAAAATTAATAAATTTTTCTTTTAATAATCTTTTTATTAAATAAAAAATG